GTTTTAGTTGCTGGTTATTTGGCCATTAATGTTTATTAACAAGCCTTAATGCATGCAATGCATGATGTAGGATGGACCGGAAGTTGCAGAAAGTATTCTCCGACGTGACGCGCCGCGTGCTGCGGCTACGTACGTGCCCCTGGCGAATCTTGATAAACAGGTCGAAATACTTCTCTCAATTCCTTTAAATAACTCTGAATGATGTGTATAAACTGAAACTGTACTTTGGTTCAATAGTTGCACTAATGCTTTCTCCCATGTATACATACATGCACTATATTATCTATCTTAAAGAAAATAAAAGAGATTCTCTCTCTTGTACATATTTTCTGCATCAATGTGTTATCGAGATAAGGACAACATTCTGTTACTATGGATGTTAATCGCGTATTATAGAGCGCCTTAGTGTGGACTGGTCTCGCCGAAGTGTGGAGGTCGTACATGCAGTCGTTAGAAGTACCGCCGTTAATGCTCACCCAGGAAGAATTTCTCAACGAGGTTCGCAAGATCAATCCTTTAGTTTGTCTGGAACATTGCAGACATCTCGGATTGCAATTACAGGTTTATACTTTTGTTAATTCCAATTTAATTTACAAATTGCTTTGTCTATTTAACAAGCATTTGTATTAAATTATAGAACTTGGGGGAATGCATTCTTCTACCTGGAAACCTGATAGTACTTAGTCCGGAGTGGTTTTGGCAAGACGTGTTGAATTGGCAATTGAGTCCCGATCAAAAAGGACGACTGGGCGGCCGAACCACCGGCGTTTATACCATAGAAGATTTTCAAGCGCGATGTCCGTGTCCTGCAACTCAAGCTCTGCAAGCTTTACAAGCAGTCAATTTATGCGTTCCGGTATGTTTTAGAAAATCCGATCAGTCGATTGATTATTACTTGATTATTATGTTTCAGTGCGAAGTGGATGATGACGAAGTGGAGTACGAGATACCGTGTTTAAACCTTGTAGAGCGTCTTCCGGGTTTGTGGGAACCGTGGAAACCATGTTCCAACGCGTTTCCTCATACTGGTTTACGGCTTTGTCCAGAGGAAGCGCCTTTATACCATTTGACTGCTATATTTACACATTTACAGGTATTCAATGTTTATAATAAAGAAAACACGATGGTAGAGTGCTGAAAATATTAAGTATACTAAAGTACTGACATTGTAGGCACAACTGAGAAAAGTTACGCAAACGTGGGATCAGTCGAATTCGGATTTGTATCAGTGGTGGCGAGGGTCAAAATTGTGTTTGGGACCTTGCGAGAGTATAATCACTCTCGAGGAAGAGGAGCACAGCAGCGTGGAGATTCAAGTTCGCGGCCCGCGTGGTTCTAGCGCGCAATGTTTCGCCCTTCTCAGCGTAATTCTGGACGCGATGGATACGACTATTGAATTAGTCGCGCCTGGAATGTTACTCGAAAGGCATTGGCTGAGTCCTAGCCAGCTTCGAGAATACGACGAAGTAAGTAAAGAGCGCATATTTAGATTTGTATTATAAGATAAAAAGATTCTATGTCTTTATTGTAATCATTTGCAGATAGTTCATTCTTGGGCGCCAGCCACTATTATATCGGCTTTAATTGACAAGGGTCTCGAAGAGGCGACCCTAAAAAATCCTCTGAACGATCAACAAGAAACCGTGTGGGAGATAGTAAGTTGCGGGTTGCCGTTGATGGAGAATTGCGTTCCTGGGCCGAAGCAACCTGTAAAATACATAAAGCCTGCAGTTCAACGGCGGTTGGCGCAGATGCTGGATCCGCCTGATCATCACGGAAGAGATTGGTGCTTGCTCGCTGTGAGGCTTGGTTTAGGGGATCGCGTCGCCCAACTGGATAGCACAGTGGACAGTCCGACTTTGCGGTAAGAAAGTTTTGAAATATGCCGATTGGTATCGTAACGCAACTGAATATTGCGAAATCCCATATTTGGTTCACAGGTTACTGAACTGCGCAGGTGTGGAATGCACTGTCGGTTCGCTGGTGCAACAATTGCGAGCACTCGATCGCGAGGATGCTGTGCACCTGTTGCTCACGTATACGCCAACCTACGTGTTATTAATGTCCGTCGACTCCGAGACAGGGTCTAATCTTTCCAGATGACGATGCTGCTCTCATCAGTGGCGCATCAACACCTTTTAGGTGTTCTTTTTGCCGAAACACCGCGCGTTTGATGGATAGCATTGTTGTCTTTCTATTTCCGCCCATTATAAATCATACGTTAATTTATTAAGTACGTGTATATCCTTATATGTAACTGAACTTTAGCGGTCGATCGCATTGTGCTTTGAGCTGAGTGATAAGAGGGATCTGTGACGTTTTTTTGTATACTGTTTTATATTTTTCTTTGTTTTTTTATTTCGTACTTTTTTACTAGCCGATAAGGTACTTATTAACCCGCATTATTACATTGATTTGCCGTATGATTACCGCAAACGGAAATTGATTTTTTCTTACATCTTTTTGTTTGCATTAATTATTATGTAAAAATTGGTACTACCTAATATTTATTTTTATTTCTTGATAGAATTGTGCTGTGGTTAACATTATATTTATAAGCGTTGTGTTGTTGTGCAGTTTACATTTTTCTTGTTATACGAAGCTGTTAATTCCAAGGAAATGATGCATTTACATATTATAATGCGATATGATCGTATTTGATATTGATATTGTTTCGAGCGCTTTTCTTGATACGCCGATATGATCTTGATATATACATATACATGTATTACATCTTGCCAAAAATCTATATCAATATGCACCGCTTTTTCAATACTTCGGAATATTTACCAAGCATATGTATATGCGCAAAAAGAGTGAAATAACAATTTGCACTGTGTACTATTACTTTTGGATACATCGTCTCTGTACATTCGACGGTTGAGTGCATATTTCTACTGAATTGTATGCAACATCTTTACTGTGTGCCATATAAAAAATTTTTAAATACATGATATTCGGAAAAAGAGAAGCTGAGGGTAGAATAGTCAAAATAATTCTTCTCTAACATGACTGGACTGCGTTACTTTTTATTTTAAACAACATTTACAATTGTATAAGTCTGCTTATCTACATACCTGTGAATTGACTAGAAAATCGATCTCACATGTATAATAGTTAAGACGTATATACAATTAATAAAAACGTTTGCATCGCAACATTTGTAGGAACTCATTCGCATAGCTCTCTTTCTCATCACAAGCAGTATCTTACAATAGTTTAAACGAGAAAGTTATATGTTATAATCTGAGACTGTTGTAAAAATAAACCGGTGAAATTATTAAATATATCTTTCGCTAGATTTAATTGTCTTATTTATTAGTATATCATTTTCATCTATAACAAGCTTTGTTTTACAGATTCCTATAAATATTTCACTTGTCTTTGTTTATATATTTGCTAAGTTCTAGATTTGTAAAACAATTCTACAAATGGTTTTCATCTTCTTATTTTCGACTCCTTAAAGGACTCCGTGCGATTCTTATGGATATTCGGTTTCGGTAAAATTGACTAAAATTTTGAAAATAAATATTTTGTGTGTTAATAAAAAATCACGCTAACATGAACCATTATAGCCGCTACAACCGGGCCTAAGCTAAGAAATATATATCACCAATATTCTTATTACATTGTTAAATATTAGCCAATGCACTTCCAATGTAAATCTAATATTATACATATAATTATTATTGTGCGGTGTTTACATTTATTCCATGGCCAATATTGACTTTACGTTGGACAACATCGGCCAATGCATTTCTAATATAACGAACATTGGAACAATGTTTAACCAATGCACTGTGCTACTAGGAAAATTACACCAAAATATCCTTTTTATGCAACTTTAAATGTACACATTTTTCAAAATTATGACGTCAGAGCAACTTGGAAAACGGAATTTTATTCAGCATATCCAAAAAGCTATGAATTGTCCTCCTCGTTCTTCTACATTTTTTGTTAAACAGTGTAGTACCCCGGTCAAAAATTGATCATGCATAAATATATAGTATTACATATAGATGTATAAAATTATACATGAAATATATGTCTATCATACTTTTACATTGTATAATTCTATACAATTCTATACAATTTTACACAGTTCTCTATAATTTGATAGATTTATACATGTTTTTATACATGTATTTATACATGTTTTTAATTGTGTACAATTCTACAAATTTATATATGTAATTCCCTCTATATTTGTACATAATTTTATATATTCAGGTTCATGCATGAAAAATTTTTTACCGGTTACTAGAAATAACACCTTATTTTGATTTTTGAACGCTTAATTAAGTATAGCGGCTAAACGGTTTATTACAAGGAATCTCCCGTCCATCGTGACTTTAATGTTGACCAGCATCACATAGATATTATTATATAATATTTACAAAGTTTTAGCCAATTTCACCGAGATACAATTTCCACGAGGACCGCGTGGAGTTCTTCTCGACCTATTTTTGAAGCATGCGATTTTTACTATTCGTAAAACCCTTTTCCAAGAGATGAATTTTTAATATCAAATCCCTCGGAGCTTTACGCTTTTATTAGTGCGGTTTCGCCTACGTTGCGGTATTCACTATCAGTACTGAAAATCTATAGTTTATACTACATACACTACAGATTTTCAACACTGGCAGTGAATATCGGAGCACAGCCCAACGGAAGCTCCCGCGCGCAACATCGAGCCGCTCGATAGGCAGGGCTTCGACCAGCGGGAAGATTCGAAGCTGGTCCACGCCGATTGATATTTTAATAGCTCGTAATGTCAATCGGGCCTATCGATGTGAGGATGGACCTGGTCAGGCTGTTTACTACGGGGAGTTGATTACGTGGTCGGTAGAAAACAGGAACGGGATTCTTTTCGGGGGCCGAGAATAGCATGGGAACGGGCGGATATCGCGTTTCGTGGGTAGCCGCGGCGACGACGGCGGAGGGTAAGTTTCGGGACGGCAGCCAAAGTCCCCAAGCAATTATAGAATTGGATTGGATCGGGGAGTTCGGGAAGGTGGCCGGCACCGCCGCCGAAATCGGTTTCGTTTTATTTTAGCTTAACTGTCGAAGGCATCCGGTTGTGCATTCTCCCCGCGGATCATCGTCACGCGATCACAGCGAGTGCCCCCCTTAGTAGGAATTTCTCTGCTCATCCAGCATCAGCGCGCAAAATTTATCAAACGACTAATTTGGGTGATACAGACACATCGGACGTTAAATGACGGAGTGAAATCTCGCGGCGAGTAACACCGACGTTTTTGTGACTGCACTACTCGTCGTCCTTCTTTTACTCGCTATATTTAAGGTATGGGTTCTGCTCACTGTGTGAATAAAATATTCGCGTTTATTCGAGAATTTAGAATTTCATTGGAATCAATTAAAATCTACGGATTTTTATTTTCATTAAAGCACTCGCGGCGTATTTTTATTATTTCGTTTTCATTTATATTTTCGTTAAATGTGTGCGTGCTAATGAATTTTCGGCGGTTTGCGATTTTTTCCCTCCCGTATCCCTTGCTCGAAATCGCACTAGCTTCACAAGTTTTTAATTGTAATCCAGAATAATTAGTAAGGTGAAAGACCGAGATCACGTGTCACGATGGAGGCGATCAAGAAGAAAATCGCAGCTTTGAAGCTCGAGATGGATGCTGCGAACGAGAAAGTCGAAGTCAACGAGACGAAAGCGAAACAAGAGAATATAAGAGCGGACAGGCTGAATGACGATACTAGTGATCTGCAGAAACGATTGGCCCAATTGGAACGAGATTATACCGTTGCTAAAGCGAACTTGGAGCAATCGACCGCTGATTTAGAGCAGTGCGAAAAATCTTATTCTAGAGTGCGTAATTACACAAGTCAAGTTTCTAAATCGGATTTTCTGTCCCGATAGAAAGATATTTATGAAATTATGCGACAAAAAATCTTGCATGAAATTTCTAATCTGCGATTTCTAATCTGCAATATGGATATATAGAAATATCAATCTTTAATGAAACATTAATAATTTACGTTATTAATTTCGGCGAAACAGTAACGATACGGCGAATCATCTTAATTTGCAAAATTAAATTTTGGAAAGAAATTGTCTAATAATTGAAAAATTATCTTAATTTGTATTAATCCAGATAGCACACATAGTTCTATTAATATTCTTCTGAAGTGTAAATAGTCTTAATTTCAGAATATTCCAATTGAATATTCTGTAAATATATATAGATTATTACAATTAGAAATCGTATGTTCATAACAAAGAAAAACGTTTTTAGAATATTCGTCGAGAATATCTTTGGAATATTTATTCAGAATAAGTTTTTGATATTCATCGAGTTTATGTATTGCACATTGTTTATTGTGTGATACACTTATCTTATGCAAAAGGTAGTGAAACCAGTGATCATACCATATGTATATAACGGACACGCTATATTCGATAGATTATTCTATTCACATTCGAAAAAGATTTATAGTAGTACCCGTCGAATGTTTCACGAACATAAGATAAATGACCTATGGAATATTCCAAATATTCTTGAAGAATATTTAAAAAATGTTTACAGGAGTGTGTTGTGCTATCTGGGAACGTGGCTCCTGCACGAAGGAGTGGTTAGTATGGGTGCTTTAGTGGGGCCCCTTTAATTTTTGTAAATTCATGACTTTTTTCATAAAAAAGAATCACTTATGCATTATTGATCAAATATATTGATACGCTAGGTCACACATGCGTATTTAAATACATATTTAACACATATTTAAAAATATGTGATGCTGTCAAGTCTCAAAGAGCTGTCAAATTTCCTCAAAACTTATTAATTTAACAGAAAACCCCTTATCCCATATTAGGATTTTAACTCATAATAGGGGGCTTTCCTTTAAATTAGCGCAATTGTTACGAAATTTTCATCAGTTTATGTGCAATGTTCCTATCCGGCTGCAATATAAGGAAGTTTACGTAATCGTGCAATAAATCTCTACGTAGAAGACAATCTTAAGTTAAGACGACCTATTGAAGCTATCGGCTGTTAAAGCTATTAAAAGATTCTACCCAGAATCTTTTATTATTTAGCTTTTGTTATAAGCTTCGATAAATATTTATATGAAGAACCTTTTACTTTGTACCAATTAATCGCGTTCTACATACAGGCCGAGCAGGATCGTACTGTGATGACGAAGAGAGTGCAGGAGATCGAAGCGAGTCTTACCAAAAAGGAGGAGCTGCGTCTTTCCGCCACGATAAAGCTGGCACGTGCGACCGAACTCGCCGACGACGCGCAGAGGTTCATACATTTATCAATTGCGACGCGTTTGCGAAGCGTGCCTTGAACAGATTACACACAAATTGAATGAAAAGATAAATTATAGGACGGGATTCGATGAAGTAATGCTACCTTCCTCTTTCTCACGTACAGAATGTGTAACGTCCTGACAGATAGGAGTCGCTTGGACGAGGAACGTACGGAGAAGCTCATGTCGGAATTAAAGGACGCGAGATTAATCGCCGAAGACGCTGACGCGAAATCCGACGAGATAGCCAAGAAATTGCAATTCGTGGAGGAGGAATTGGAAGCTGCTGAAGAAAGAGTGAAGACTAGCGAGGCGTATGCATTACAATTTGCACGATTATATACACGTGAAAAAATACTTTTTTTATATATATGTAAACTCTAAAATATCTTTTCACAGAAAAATCGTGGAGCGCGAGGACGAACTCTTCATCGTACAAAATATCGTGAAATCCCTCGAAGTATCCGAGGAGAAGGTGACGTAGTATAATATAATACGCTGCGATAGTTATTGGATCGCACTGACGCTGTCACTTCTCGATTATTTTGATTGCAGGCAAACCAGCGAGTAGAAGACTTTAAGGTGCAGCTGAAATCCTCGAAGAAGAAACTGAAGGAGGCGGAGAAGCGCGCAATCACCGCCGAAAGGACAGTCAAGACGTTACTAAAAGAAGTGGACATGAAGGAAGGTAAGAACTCGGCCGGAGATTTTGCTTCCAATTATTCCAGTCGTTCTGTAACTTACTTAAAAACAATTCTGCCTTCTCTTGTCTGCACCACGGAGGAAATTGTTGCTCGTTACAGACGAACTCAGGGAAGAGAAGGAAAAGTACAAGGCGGTCTGCGACGACATGGACGCAACGTTCGCCGAGATGACAGGATACTAAAGTCCTGCGGACGGACTCGATTTGACTCTCGCTGCTACTCCCACGCTTCTCTCCGCTTATTCGCTATATCTTAATATTCGTTGCTTCGTTGCGCCTGATTGTCACTTAAACTGCAATGCCGATTCGCTTTATCGTACGAAATGCCGTGAACGACATTAGAAGTAATCTACTTCGTGCGACAAGCCACTGATGGTGATGATAGATAGGTGCAAGATAACGCAATGCGGCTTGTTACTATAACTGCTTCGCTTCGTGTAACACCTTGCCAAAATCGAGCAACTGGTTCATGGTCGCTCGTTGTTCGCTATGTCGACTGAAGAATCACAATTTCATCTAGTTCTCTTTCTTTCAGAGGCGTTGGAGGGATTTAATGTTGCACGCGCGAGCGAGACCACGATATCGCGCGTACTTTTTACCATTCAATGTAAAATGTGTATTTTCAATAAACAGTATCACAAATTCCCTAATGACTTTTCATCTGTTACGCATCGTGCCGTTAATAAGCAAGCAATAAAGTTTTCAGAAATAACCAAGTAAATGATAGAAACGTAATGAGTAAAAGCTATTTTTAAATTTATCCACTTTTCAATATAATATCAATAATATCAAATATTACTTGTAAAATATGTAGATTGAAAAATGAGATTGCAAAGCTGAAATTAAAGGATTGCGCTCGTCATGTATTAAAAGTAAAATGAATTACGTGTCTGTTATTTAAAGTCACAAAATAGAGATATAAAGCTTATTGTAGAACGTAATAATTATCAAACGAATATAAAGCGGCAAGTAAATGTTCGACGATCGTTGCCGATCGCAGATACAGCGGCACAACAAAGGAGACTACGGCTTTAAGAAGAGTCCAAGAATTCGTTTGGGCCTAACTAAAGCGACGGTTGCTCTTATCCTTTTGCATTGCATTGAGCCTATAAAACATTGTCCTCATCGGTCACTGAGTACAGTAACCCACGGACGTTGCATTTTGTTACCTCGCTCGTTTCTGCGGTAATAAAAAATTCTGTTTAACAGAGTGTAAAGCTGAAAATTGCCATTTTTATATGCGACAGAAAGATACTTTAAAGTGAAAGTGTTTTACGTGGATTTAGTCAAAGAGCGCTCTTCATTGGATACTCGCGATCTAAAAGTATAAAACATAAAAATAATCATCGTAAAGTAAAAGTGTCAAAAGATTGTCACAAAAATCCTTGTCGCGTCACAAAGTTGGTTAGTTAATAAAAATTTAGTTCTCGCAGCTTAATAGAGCTGTTGCAATAATTCGCCGAGGCGCGACAATTTATCGATAAAAAATTCTGTTAGCAATCATTGGCCAAAGAGAATATTTCTAATTAATTTCCAACGTAGACATGAACGCCATTAAGAAACGCCTGCAGACGTTAAAGCTTGAGAAAGATCTCGCGATGGACCGAGCTGATTTGTGCGATCAGCAGGCGAAGGAGGCAAATCGGAAGGAAGAGAAATTAAAGGATGAGGTACGTGAATTGGCGAAAAAGCTGCTGCAAATGGAGCATGATTTGGAAGTGAGTAAGGCCCAATTGCTGAAATCAAACAGAGATCTTGAGATAAAGGAGCGGATCTATATCGTGGTTAGTGAATTGGAAGAAATGTATCACATGCGCGGCCGCAATCGATTCGCTCCTGCATCAATTATAAAATTGCAGACGCAGTCGGAGCTGGCGGTGTTCAATAGAAAAATGCAGCAGTGCATGCAGAATTTAGAAAAGTCGGAGGAGCGACGTTTGTCGGCTCAAGTGAAACTTGCGCAAGCCACGGAAACTGCCGAAGACGCAAAGCGGTATAAATATTTATGTTATGTTTCTGTAGAAAATTTGCTATGTAAAATTTGCTATGAAATGCTTTCTAAAATACACATAACTGATATAACGAATATTTTACAATAATTGCGGTCATATAACACTGCAGAGATAAAAGGTTTATTAACATCGTCGTAATTTTTTTGTAAGAAATGCTATAATACGGGCTGTCGTAATCGTAAAATTATTCTTACTCAGCATCTGCAAAGTCCTGGAGAACAGGAGCAAACAGGACGAGGAGAGAATGGACCAATTGATGGCGCAGCTGAAGGAGGCGAGGCTTATCGCTGAAGACGCTGACACGAAATCGGATGAGATTTCGAGGAAATTGGCGTTCGTCGAGGACGAGCTCGAAGCGGCGGAAGAAAGAGTTAAATCAAGCGAAGCGTACGCAATTCTCTAAATATAGAGACTGCGTCTTCTTTTCGGCCTGAACTCTTTCTCATTTCTCTATTTTCAGTTTAAATGCGGGAACGATTCATAATACATTCTACTTTCGAGGACGTTTTACCTTTGCATGAAAATATTCTAGATATTTATTACAGCCGTACAAATGTTTTTAACTCACCTGAAAGAGCTCGGCGCGAATTGACGCAGAATATTATGTTTTAGGAAGATTCTCGAGAGGGAAGACGAGTTATTTATCATCGGTAATATATTCAAGTCCTTAGAGGTGTCTGAAGAAAAAGTACGTGCTCTCATACTAATGAGTTTGTGTCTTTTATATCTGAAAAATAAAACATATGTAAAAACTGTTTAATTTATCGCAGGCTAATCAAAGGGTGGAAGAATTTAAAGAGCAGCTGAAGGAGTTGAAAGTGAAACTGAAGGCTGCTGAAAAACGTGCCATAATTGCAGAGAAAACTGTCAAGATATTTACGAAAGAAATGGACAAGAGAGAAGGTAACTGTCGTGCGCACAGATAAAAAATTTTCAAACTTGTCAAAATAATATCGACTGTTTTTACTAAATTGTCGTTCACGTTTTAGATTATCTGCTAAAGGAAAAGGAAAAATACAAATACATCTGCGACGATCTGGACTCTACGTTTTCGGAACTTACGGGATACTAAACTTATAATATTATATTGTCATTCAGAAAATTTGCATTGCACAGAAACATAAATATAAATTCTCAAGTCTATTGAATATCCCTGGTGGAAATTTTTTCTGAAAGTATAATGAAATTTTGCTAAAACTTTTAAAATAATTTCTCTCGATTGACCACCGTCATTATCGTTTCAATAAAAATTCGGTGAAAAATTATTTAAAAAATTATTCGTTAAAGATTAGCACAGTTTTCAGTTAAATTCGCTAAATTTTGTTATATCCGATATTTCATAACTTTTTAATTATTTTTCAACAGTACATGTTAACTTACCTTATATTTCAAAGTATTACATTGAATTTCATGAAGAAGATAATGATGTCTTGTGAGATACAGTAATTTTTCCAATAATTTTATTTCACTCTCCATGGTACTTTCAGCAAAGTATCTCTATCAGGTATCTCTCTGACGAGGTGCATCCAGAAAATCGACCCCGTTACTTTACACGATATCAATTTTATTTAATCGATTCTACGATCGACACAATGCATCGAAATGCCGTACCACAGATTTAATACAGTTTAAATTTAATCGACAATTCGTTTTAATCGTATAACCCCCGATCGCAGAACGGAGAAAGTATTTGCAATTCTTTACTTCGCGAAGACTTTGCAATGATTTTTACGCAATCTCACATCACGATTGGACCGTCCGCACCGCATTCGCGCCGGTAAGCTCTCTCTCTTTCTCTCTCTCTCTCTCTCTCTCTCTCTCTCTCTCTCTCTCTCTCTCTCTCTCTCTCTCTCTCTCTTTTTCTACAACGACGTAATTAATCGTAGTTACAATAACAATTGTCCATTTGATTTGTTCGCTCGCCTCCTCCGTCCATATAGATGCAACAATTAAAGTATATTCTCCGAGCTGCACGGATTATCGCAAATGGCGATGGGAGATGCACCGAGTTGTGTCGCCGCATCATCCTTCGAGGACCGTGTAATCATTCGCGGTGCAATGTAAAAATCCGACAAATCGACCAAAAGTACCTTTACCGCGGCGAGATCGTCGAGTACCAAATTGCAATCGGACAAATGGCAAGATTGTCTAATCTAAATTAGTTTCATGAAAACCCGTACAACGCGGAAGCTCGTAGCCACATTGCGGTCGCGCCGCGATGTAGCTGCAAGTTTTGTGCCGTACAGGAAATGGCGCAGTAAAAAATTCGTTGATCAGTCATCGAGTAGTTTTCGTTAGTTTCTTACGTGGTTAACGATAACGAAGAGAACTGGTCCCTGAAAGGTAATTTGTGGCACGACTCTTGACAGAACTCGGTCAGTCCATGAGGCAAGAAAAATGTACAAAAATCGCATCGACGAAAATGTCCGACAACCGTACCAAGAGCAAGACGGCGAATCGCACCTCGTCCTCTTTGGAGGATTGCTCTATCGAATTTAATCGAACACTACGAGTTTGATTGACGTGCTTCCCTTATATACATTAACATACGCGCCGTACATGCCTGTATGCACGCGTCTTGATGCCCGTGTACTCAAACATATATTGTATTCTACATACGTATTATCTACGGCCTCGTCTTCATAGTGTCGCGCACAATTTCCCTTAACTTACCGGCGTTATCTCGCGATAAACCCGAAATTCTTAATGTTACAACGTGACTAGAATTTCTTAATCCCTTCCTAGACTCCTCTTTTACGTAGGATCAAAGTTACCGTCGACGTGTTGCACGGTAGCGTACAATAAATTCGGAGCAGCTTTCTTCGCGCTGAATTAAACTAGAAAGTGGAAGTACGTACGCCAAGAGGTCTGAATGTAAAAAACATCTTACGGTACACTCAACTATTTAGACGTTTCGACGGGAAAACGAGTTAAACAGATTTTGTTTTATGTTAAAAGCTCACCGCGATCTTGGTAAAAGTTACAAAAACATCTTTTCTCTCATATCGAAGTGTGTAAAGTAATCTCAATTAAACCCTTTGGGTCGCGGTGAGTAAGTCTGGCGGAATGGCAGTGTCGTGGAAATATTGGGAGTTTGCGGCGCAACGAGATTACGCGCGCGTAATTAATTAATTCTAATGGCGATTTCGTAATACTTTCGAGTTCAGTCTGAAAAGGCGTTTCGATGGTACGACTTATTGCATAATAGTAAAATTGGTCGCGTCAGATCACGAAGTCTCCAGGTGCACGACATTAGAAGAGAGATTTGACGAGGGAGAGAAACCCGTTCACCGCTACTCTCCCTCAAGCGCCTCCGCCGAAACTTTTACAGAATTGGAAACGAGTCTGCTACGATTAGCTTCGTACTCGACTCCTTCGATCGTAACGCGCTCCGCGTACAGAAAAACGTTCTACATAGAAGTCTTAGGTTTAATAACGGACTTAAAGTAATCAACGGTACTATATTCGTACGTATATAAACTTTACAATGTAACAGAGCCCAACCGTCAACAATTCGCTTTTTGGGGACTTGGCAGTCCGGTCTTTTCTCTTTCCCAAATCCGTTATCATCCCGATTTCTAATAACATGCGCGCACCGAACACAGACGAGCATGATTTCCAGGATAGCGAAAGCTTCGAGTTGCTTTATATTGATGTGCGGGAACAAAAAGGTTTCATTAAATATTTTATTAAGTATCAATGTGGATGCACGCGCGAAGTTTAAACGCTAGAGAAATGCTAGAAGTAAACGGAAGTTATGATCACGATAAATCAATATAATGAAAAATGAAACGATGTGCAAGTAGGATAGCAATTCTTTTATGTCATATGAAACGTTCTTCCCATAAATTAGTGAGATAAAATGTCTTACACACTTATAATATACGCAAAAGTTTAAGTATAAAACAAAGAAAAGTGTATAAAATTGGTACAAATGAGCAGAAATTGTTCGCGATGGAAGCAGAAGTAGCCTGCCATCTCTCTTGTACATGATAAGCGAAGATACTCTCCCGTGCTCTGTTCGTACGATTAAGTCTTTGGTCTCGAATGGATCGCCCGCCGGCGAAACGACTCGCAGCGGTCTGAGCAAATTGTCGTTTTGGCACGCATTCGTACACGCAATTCGACGATCATCCACGCACTCGGACTCGAATTCACTCACGCACCGCATGCACTCCATGCACATGTATTATCTCAAGTCGTGTCGTAGACAAGGAAGAGGAGAAGCACGTTACTTATAGATACTTTCGACTAGCTTTCTCGGCTCGATCAACGAAGAAACACGTTTACAGGAGAACATTTTTACGGTGTCGCATCCTGTTGTATAAGTGTATTACTGTAATTCTGGTTCTTTGACACACGATACTTTAGAATGTTGTAAAGACGCTTTTCGCTTGAAAAGGACCGGAATTCTCGGTCGAAACGTCGTGCGTTTTTATTCTTAAATAAAACGTTGCCAGATACGTCGAATAATTATCCATTATCTTTTTGCAAAAATTTATCTCTGAAATGCAAAAATGTTTTATATTATAAATTGATCTGTGTAATAACAGTGTAATTAAAAAAGTTTTAGGGCTTCAAGATTTATCATAAGTCGAGAGATTATATGTGTTCTTCTATACCCGTCCGTCTTCGTTACCTCGATCTTCTCCGCGATATTATTTATGCACATCTCTCCCTCGACCGTCATTAACGAGCAGAACGTAATTTACCTATCGTCGTTAAAAGACGTGGCAGTCGAATGGCCCTACGAATAGCCACGAGAAAATTCTCGACGAAACACGATGGGAAAAGGTCAATTTACCTAATTTTTGGCCCACCGGGTTAAGAGAAAAGGGGGAGCGACTACCGTGGGGGTTGCGACATCCGGGGGTGCAGGTTAGACGGCGATGGAGTAATCCGAAGAGGGATTATTCTGAGTGCTTGGTCGCGACCATAGAGAGCTTCGCAGCCCCAGTTTCAGTTTCTTCAAGGAGTCGATGTCGCACTCGGCCTCGCTGAGCTCCGGTCGGTCCCCGTTCCCTGGCGTGGGCACAACTCCCTGATTGCCGCCGACGAACGCGGTCTCCGCGACCGAGATCGGTGGCAGTAGTGTGCGTAGAGAGCTCCTGCTGGGAACATGCCATCTTGCGAGATAGCCAGAAAAAGACCAGCTTACTGACAAATATTGAGCGTTTTGTAATAAAAGGTACTCGAGTGGTCAAACGGGATATGCAACCCCGATAGGAAAATATTTAGAACAGTGTGACGAAATCTGGATGAAACTTGGAATGCTGCAATTATGCGTACACATTTCGACCAACATATGCAGAAATAGAGATCTTTCATCAAATATTGATAAATATTTGCACAGTGTATTTCTAAATAATTTGTCAGCAAAACAGGAGCGTTTTGGCGAATCACCAAATGCAATTATTGTGGAATTTCCTCCTTTTGGATCATGCAGTTATTGCACGATATTTGAGACGTTTTCTTATCGGGGAACCTAATTAATTTTGTGTAATAATAATTTTTAACTGTTTTACAATATGTTCTATAATTTCTTATATTTGATTTAACGAGACAAGTTGTATGCATTTAGCAAACTCAGAATCTGTAAAATACTTTTGTGTATTTTGTCATTGAAATTCTTTGAGAGATTGGAAATTAGAATATTTAGCGACAAAGTCGAATTGAATTGTAATTTGCTTTACTCTTTTAAAGCCATTACCTTGATCGCCCCCTCCGTGGCAGCGACTTCTGTTCGGACATGGGAGAAATGTCCGAAGACGTGCTCGACGTGCCGTGATATATAAAGTCCGAGACCGCGCGAACTGAAACGACAATTCGTTAGAAAATGTTGACGGACTGAACGTTTTAATAAACCTCAGGTCGGAACATACTATGTTTTAATTTTCCAGCGTCCAGCTGATTCGACGACTCCGTGCGCGAGCTTATCAGTTGGTCCGGGTCAGATTCGCTCTCGTCGCTCTCGACATCGCCTGGGGTTTGCTGCTTTCTCTGCTGCCGCCTTCTCGACGAAGCGCTCTTCATGCTCTGCGCAAATTCAATTTTCGTGTGCAAAATGCAATTTATATCAGAATTCTAATTCAGATAATCTACATATCTATTCACATTATTAATTAGCAATTATACTGGGTGTTATGCGATGCCTACAATGTCTCAAAAGTTGAGTAATTAGTAAAATCCTAGCGAAAGGAAAAGATATTGGCATATACCGTCGCCGCTGGTGGAGGGCTCGCACACCCTTCGGTCATGGCGTGCTCGTGGTACATGAAGCTGTGTAGAAGAGTGTTGTTCGGGTGAAGACCGGCCGCCGTGGCCTCCGCCGCGCCTCCCAGTCCTCCCAACGCGCCCAACCCTGCCAGGCTTCCCCCGCCACCCTCCGAAAGTTGGAACGTAGCGTACGGAGAAATGTCCTCCGCTGTCTCTGTAACCCATCAGAGGCATTGCCTACCTTTCAAATCGCGTCGGGCTAATTGTCTCAGTCATCCATCCGTCTCGATTTCCATACTCATCATAACGAAGAAAGCCACGAAATTACGTCTCAGGCATAAAGTAACTATTTTTTATGCCAAATTAAAGAGCAATAAATAATGAGTTTATCTCAATTTAAATTAAAACAATTAATTTTGTGGTACTACAAGTGTACAAAAGACATTTTTTAAATATTTTTTCAACATTTACTTCTTTAAGCCGCCTTGTTTTACTGTTGAGCGGCGCTACAAAGGTGGCCGACTCGTACCTGCGCAACAGTAATTATAGTACCAAACCTGGTGGCCGTCCATATTGTAACAAAGGTTCACCTGGAATCTTGTCAGGCCCCGCGCCCGTATTCGCCGCTTGTTGCAATGCCACCTTATGTATTGTGGCATAGTAACGTTCTCGCTGCGTCTCCGCATTCTGTTGGTTTTCCTGCGACTCCTTCATTGGCCGTTGCATTTGACCTCCCAAATACCCTGGCAAACACATTCTTCCATTAATCTTTACAATTTCTTTGGAATATTACAAAAAATATCGAAAGATATATGCAGTGGTATCCTGTGTACATTCCAGTCTAACTTAGACACTGTAATATCTCGAAAACTATGCATTAAAAAATATATATATAAAATAAAAGTTGTATGCAAACTTTACAGCTTTTATTTTATACATTGTTTTTAATGCACTCACAAGTGTTTTCGAGATACTACGGAGTCTAAGTTAAAATGGGACATCCCGTATTCAAAGTGGTATCGCGGAAGAAAATGTAAAAATAATTTGTTGTATATAAAACCAGGATAATGAGAAGTTGGACGGCCAAAAATATTAACGCGAAAAGTATCTCGGCGACGATAATTGCGCGTCGATTAAACTGGACTCACTGTTCTTCCAGCGAAAGGCGACAATCGCCGCTGCGGCAACTAACGCGAGAGTGGCCACTAGCAGCGGCAGTATCACCTTGATGTCCGCGTAAAACGGCATGGTCGACGTCATCCCGCGCTTTGACAGCCCTGGCGGCGGTATTTCTGTAAAGTTACAGGAACACAGTGCTTTTGGATATAAGCCTTTGATCTTATCGTTAGTTTCATCGGACGGCGCAAACGCATCGCTGATCCATTTATCTTCCGATGAAAGTTGCTTATCTTCAAACTTACCACCTTCTTTTGTTAACGTCACAAACGTAAATTCTGCTTGATTGCTGCCTGCCACGTTGTGAGCCTCGATCTTGAGTTGGTAGACCGAGCTAGGCATTAAATTCGTTACGAGGAATCGCCGTTGCATCTTGACGGTGTTCGACACCATGGTCCAATGGAACTCATTTATCGGCCTGTATTGAATCACGAAGTACTTTATGGAGCAACCGTTATCGGGCCAAACGTGCAATCGCAGCACCAGAGTGGTGGAATTCGGGCTGAGGAAGGCAGCCGCCGGTGGGATTCCCGGGGCCTGACCCTGAGTTCGAACTGAGAGCACCGGTGACGACGGACTGCTGCCGATTTTATTGTGTGATGTCAGATACAACTGATACGTGTTCCCGCACAGGAGCCCCTGTTAAAGAAATTACAATTTGCAATATCTTCGGATTACTCTACAGAGTAACAGAAGTCTTCATTTTTAACGAAATGGCTCATTAAAATGTATCCAGAATACATAATTTTGGAATTTGCTCAGAGCGGTTAACATTTTTTCATCAACGATTAATATTACAAATTCATGTCAGGCAAGTTCACCTTCAGTTCGTGGCTGGTCGCATGGCGAGATAACTGTAATTCGTCAAGAGTACCGTGACTAGTTCGATAATACAGCGTGTAGCCCGTCAAAGGCGCACCACCGTTATACTCGGATTTCCAATGTAATAACACGCTGCTCGATGTAGAACTGGTTACGTACAATACAGGAGCACTGGGCGGAACTACAATAGTTGATTAGACTGTAGTGTATTCTAGACTGTACTAATATTCGGCTCAATTAGAGTACAATAAGTAGATTATCTATTAAAACCTATTTAGTAAAATATTAGCATCGCGATCGTGTAACAAAAATCGCTTCGCAACACCTACGAGCAAATGTATAAATAATTATTTTAACATCGCGATGCATATTGTCTTGAATAAAGTTCCTGTTTATTTCGTTAAAGTTAAAACGATTGCACGAAAAGTGGAGAGGAGATTTAATCGCAATAATCACCTTGCACCGTGAGGGTGTAGTGCAGCTTATCGCTACCTTGGGAGTTTTCCACCTGACAGGTATAATTCCCACTGTCTTGCGACTGCAAATTCGACAGCACTAGTTCCCCAGTCGTCAAGATCTGTACGTTTCTAGCGGAATCGGTGCGTATCTGCTCCGTGGTACTCTTGTACCAATCTCTCGTCGGATCCCCGACCGCGTTGCACGCCAGAGTCGCCGAACCCCGCCACGGCCGCACCACGTGTCCACCAAAGGACGTGATTCTGGCCGGCACTCGATTCGTCGGCACTTGCGCCGCCACCCTCGAACTCTGGCCCTCGCCCATTCGGGTGCTACCAGTCACCCAGAATTGATACTCAACGTGTTGCTGCAAGTCGGTCGCCTCGAAATACGTACTCGTCGCCGGTAACGTTTTCTTGCCGTGATTGAGTTCCTCCCGTCCGTCGACAACCCTGCGAATTTTTTTGTTATCTTTACAAACTTGACAAAGAATTTCATTTAGTGGAAATTTGATGACACGAGATACTAAATTGCCAAACTACTAGTTTCATTTTATAGGCAAGACGTAAAAGAATGCAATACTATTTTTATATTTTTACTACCTTGTGTAAAGATTGTATTTCGTGATAACTCCATTTGGCTCCAGTGGCGGTAACCATGAAATAAATAGAGCCTGCGGCGAACTCACGACGACTTTAATATCGGCCGGACTGCCTGGCACTAAATAGACAAAAATGAGAAATATATTTATTAAGATTTTGTCAAAAACGTGTAGAGGAAAGTCCCCTGTTGCGAGATAGGATTCTAATATGGGATAGCGAGGTTTCTGTTAAATTATAACAGGCATCGTCAGTTGGTTCCACCATGAATTTGTCCTCGGAGCAACATATGTTTAGCAGAAAATTCATTGTACTGTGTAATCGTTGCGAAAAAAGATTTGCGATTGAATTTGGTTGTTGAAAACTTGCTATCTCATGTTAGAGTTACATATAAACTCTAAGACATTTCATGCGAATTACCGTCTTCTTCCGTCTGGCAGTAAATCGTCGCGGAAGGCACGCCGTCTCCAATTCTAGTGTAAGCCAAAACCTGGATGGTGTAATTGGTGTACCGTCTGAGCCCCGTTAGAACCGTTGTCAGAGCGCTCGTTTTGCGGACCTAATCACGGAATTAACTAATTAATTGAGATAGGAGAACGCGCGAAGCAGACAATGAATTTATTAGGACAATCACCTCCATCTCGTCCACGCCTCGCCACGCGTCAACCAAAATCGGTTCGTAGTTCAATTTGTAACCTTGGATTATACCGTTACTATGAGTGTTAGGCGGAGGTTGCCAGGACACTTGCAAGGATTGGGAGGTGAGCGCCACGCATCTCACATCATCCGGCGGCATGCTGGGAACTATAAGTAATCATTTCCCATTGTTATACCACAAAAATACGTCTTGGAGATAGTAAGAGAAAAAGGATCTTGAACAAAGTTATTTTTAAGCCTAAGATAAAATCCTAAAACTTCAATAATCACCGTCTTCCAAGGTTTGGGTAATCAACGGTTCGCACAGTGGTCCTGGTCCAACTTGATTGTAAGCTCGAACGACGAGGGTGTATCTGGTGTACGGCCTAAGGCCCGTAAGTCGAAATTCTCCGCCACCCTCCTCCCCGTCACCCGAGACAGAGCTGAAGTTGTACGACGGGTTGTTCGAACTGAAATAATAATCTCCTGACTGTGCTATTTTCATCCTTCTATCAAGCAATTTATTCACATTCATTGAAAAATTATTTATAGATATAGTCCGATCGAACTGGGTGAGACAGAGAGAGAGAGAGAGAGAGAGAGAGAGGGGGGGGGGAGGGAGGAAGGCAGAAAGGAGGGGGAGAAAGAGAGGGGGGTTCAAATTTAATTCCAATCGATCTTTATACATTATTGACTAAACTCACGTTTCTTTCAAAGCATTATATATATTTTAGGGGATTAAATTACTTTGTAACAATTACCTCGTTTCCTTATAGCCGACATTGAAACCCTGTATGTCACCGTGACGAAGCTCCAGTAGCGGCGGCGACCAAGTAACGAGGATCTCGGACGAGGAGAGAGATCTGGCTGCGAGATTCATCGGCGGGCCAGCTGGCTTCTGCGGCTCGGTTCTGACGATGAGCTCCGCCGAGGGGACAGATCGGCCCGCTGGGCCCTCCGCTATTACACGTATGGTGTATCTCGTGGCAGGTTTCAAATCGTCAATCAGTGCCGCGTACGGCAAGGGTGGCCCGGTAAATTCTTGCTGCTGCCACATTCCGCCTGGTGATTTCGATTTAAAAGTGTCGGCGCTTTCTCTTGGATAATATTTTGCGTTGTTATAAATTGGAAACAAAAGCAAGTTTTTATTCGAGACAATCGGAACGTGGGCTTCAAGAAGCTTATCAAAGGATCGAATTGAGATAAAATTGGAGCCTTCGGCAAGGTCAGCAGCCTTACCGAGGATGAAGTAAATGCTCAAAGTACCAGTTCGTTCTGGTACAGAACTGGTGCAGAACGAACTGGATGAAACGGGCTTTTAAGCCATGACACGAGGAAGAAGAAGTATTTGCCAAATTACCCTCGCCCTCTTTGTACTGGAGAATGTACTTGGTGACCTCGCTGGTGTCCTGCGACTTATGCTGCCACTTAACGTTAATGCTGCGACTAGCCACCATGGCAGTTTCCAGGGCGCTCGGCGGTTGGGGTGGCTCTAAAACACGCGGAATTCGATATTAATGCACTCGCGTATCAATATATACGCATACACAGACATGGCGCAAGAGCGTCGCATTTGAAATTCGATTATTCTATATCGGGGGCGAAAATCGACCTACAAACCCATATCGTACCTTGAACAAGCAGCTGCACCAGCTGCTGATCGCGGCCGTAAAGATTGTTCGCCTGGCAAAAGTACGCGCCGCTGTCCGCGGCCTCCGCCGATGAGATTTGCAATTGCGCGATGACACCGTCCGGCGTTACTTCCTGCTTCACTGCGACGCTTTATAGCGAATTCATAAAAGTTCATTAAAAGCTCCGCGAAAAGGGGCGCGGACTATTGAAATATTCATATACCGTCGCATCGGAAGCGGGCATGCTAATATTTCTCGTACAAAACTCTCCCTTTGAACAACAGCATTTCAACGTTCTCTCGTTAATAAACGGATGAACGGATTACATTTGACCCTTTTAACGGGGTATATACCGCCCCCACTTGGATTTTTCAAGTGGACGCGTTTCACATTACCACGTACACGTTCCCTATTATCGGTCCGGAATGCATTATTAATACCGTCGCATCTCATTTGTTACATTCCGCCCGACATGATCGATTTATCGAGACTAACGTGCCGCACGCAATAAACGTTCCGGGCATACCGGACGACACGATAATCTAACGAAAATCGCAGCTAAAACGACGGCAGAGATTTTCAGCCGGTTTTAGTTTATTCATCGCGCGTATCGATCTTCGTGCGCGCGCGCACGCACGTCGCAGATGGTCCGCACATCTCTACAATTCTACGTACGGCTAATCTCGACTTACCGGTAATTCGTCGAGGGATTCAGCTCGCTTTTACCGCCCTTCAGCCAGGTAACGGTAACCGGCTTATCGCCGTGTACCTCGCAGTGCAACGTCGCCGTGTCCCCTTTCTTTACGGTAACGAGCCGCGACGGCGCCGCGAAATACGGGGACGCTACGCAATCGCGGGGCAACATGAAAAAGAAAAGAACCAAATGTAGGTACAGACAATTGGGATTGCAACGTTTGAGATTAAACGCGCGAAGGCTGGTGTCGCATTCCGCGCGCAGACATTTCCAGAGCAAGCTGCACGGTGCGATTCACTTACAGTTGACTTTCAGCTGCACGACCTTGCCCAAACCGCTGCCAATGCCGTTGCTCGCGTGGCACAGGTAGAAGCCCTCCCTGTCCTCCTTGACGTGTTGCAGCAGGAGGGTGCCGTTGCCGAGGATCTTGGTGTAAGTTCTTTCGCGCAACTCCTCGTAATCACCGGCTTTGCTCCCTGTTGACAAGCGCCGCGTGAGAAAGTCGAGCGGATCGGTGCGCAGCTTACTTAGGCTGCTTCCCCTTCGGAGAACACAGTCGACGTTTTTGACACAATTCGACGCGTGTAGCGACATTTCCATTTAATTCAAACTCTATCGACACTTTTCGACTCTGCGCTCGGGAGGAGAGTCCGAGTGTGTTTTTCACCCAAGTACGCATCCACTCCGAGTATTTCGACAGAATCTTCTTTCGACAGAACCCTTTCTTCAAATCTCGTTCTTTAAATCTTTGCCATTTCACAGCGGCAAACTGTACTCGAGTGTGTGTTAACTTGTGTCAATTTTTGTGTCTCCTAAAAAGAAAGCAGCCTCAGTGTGCATCCGGAAATAATATGCCGCTGGCATATTATTCCTACTTTATTTATTCGGTGACATGAAGTAGGCAAGCGAGTTTCGAGTATGGGCCTGGATAGCTTCACTGTCAGTTGAAAGAGCATTCGCTCGGCAAGCGGAAGCCTCAGGCCCGGTCTACGATGGATTGTTAGTCGTTAGTCGGAAGTCAGAACTATATGTCGGTCCTTTTTCTTCCACCCAGAAAGGAAAAGGATCAACATACGGTTCCGACTTCCGACTAGCGACTACCAACTCATTGTAGACCAGGCCTTAGGTTCGAGTCCTGATGTAGGGGTCAATTCTGTATCTCGCACCGTAGTGAAAATGCTGAAAGTGAATAGCTTTGTCTCTTTCTAACCGCCGCTAGCTGTTCACCTTCGGCATTTTCACTGTATTGTAAGATACAGAAGTGGACCTACTAGTTGTACCACGGTGTGCTCACTCCGTCGTTTGTTTCGTTTCGCGTCGTTCCCTTCTGCAACCGACATTTTGTTGGTCCAGCCAATGAGAGGGGAGCTTCATGTGTGTAGTGTAGCCAGTGAACTCTATACATACTGGAATGAGTGATCTATTGTTCTGGCTGTTGCCGAGAGAGAGGTGCGTTTGGGTGAATCCTTGTCTCCTTCTAGTACTACCTGATTGGATAGTCGCATATAAATGACGAGAAGAAGGGCGTCACTTATATGCGATTATCCAATCAGGTAGTACTAGAAGGAGACAAGGATTCACCCAACGCACCTCTCTCTCGGCAACAGCCAGAACTATAGATCACTCATTCCAGTATGTATAGAGTTCACCGAGTGTAGCTTGATGACTGCACACACATACGCTCCTTGATTTGGACCGAAGACATGGCGGGATACCACCGTGATCGGGAAGAGATTAAAGGCCCGACAGAAAGTGAACGCATCCCCTGGCTCATTATTTTTCCCGCCGAAAAATTAATAAGTCGCGCGTCTTAAGGTGCAATTTCATTGACGCTAGAAACCAGCGTCAAATGAGGTCGAGTGACTTCTCGACGTAGTGGGGGGAAAAAGTTGAGACCGTCTCAACTTTTTCAGTGTGCCATGGTGTGACAAAGGCTGCGTTCAGAAACACCACCCGAGTACCCCAGTATTATTCTATCCTTGTTGCTCACCGTATATTAAACAAGGATAAAATGATACTCTGGAGTGCTCGGGTGGTGTTTTTGAACGCAGCCAGCGGTGGTTTCACGACGCTCATATTTTGCAGCTACTTCTCCTTCCCTAGGCGAGCGGTAAATTTAGTCACGTGACTATATTTGACGCTAAATCGTAGCGTCAATGAAAAGGCCGCTTTAGAGTCCACCTCCCCGAAGATATACCCCTCTTTATTACTGGCTCGTTATTTTTCTCATCCAAATATTATTATGCAGCGCGTCTTACGTTTATGTCTACCTCCCCGAAGATACACTCCCCACCTTTTATTATTATCGACGTCCTATCGCGCTCTCCTAACTCTCTCGGAGAAGGAAGTGATTTTCGCGAGCAGTATGAAGTGAAAAAAAAGAAGTGGCGCGAAATAAAGTTTATCTACTTTACTAGATAAACGTCGCGCGAGAGACAATTGTGCACCAAAGTCGCTTTACTTGCGAAATTGTCTCACCGGTGGCCTTCTTCCACACGATCGTCGGCGTCGGGACGCCCTGCGCCTGGCAGTGCAGCGCGACATGGCGATTTCTCTCGACGCTCACGTCGCTCGGCTCGACGATCCATCTGGGCGGCACTGTAACGTCAGAGACAGCCGCTTTACACAGATCAGTCACGTGTATGCCCAGCTTAATTCAACTTATTACGTCTTGCTTTTACTGGTCGTTAGCGATTTAGAGACAGGTACGTTTTTTTATGACAGAGAGAAAGAGACAGGGAGAAAGAGATAGAGAGAAAGTCGTAAAAAAGCGCGACGCGAACGAGAGTTACGTGAGGCGCGTGTCGCTTCGACGCGCAACACGCGATTCTGCACGTCAAAGAGATCGAATCTCAAACGAACCGATAAAAGACGGCGCGATAGGGAAAGAGATGTGCCGAGGGATCGCCTCGTACACGTGAAACTACGCCTCTCGTTTGATCTTCTCCCCCTGGAATGCGCGCTCTTTACTCTCGCGCGATTTTTCGCATTCCCGAAATCTCCATGCCGGGAGCGCGGCGCGCTGTTGTTTCGCGGATGTTCACGGAGAAACTGATAAAGATACTGAGAGAAGACAGAGTGAGAATGAAGGTAAAGAGTATGCGGATGGGGGTAGAACTTGTGGAGAGTCAGGGGTCATGAATCGATGCGAGGCGTATTTCGCGGGTGTCAATTGATATACAATAAAGTCTCGTGTCATTCGCACGCCAGGCAGCAGCAGACAATTCACCTCTATGTTCAACACCGCAATAGGGTAACAAGGAAAATGACAAGGGCGGAGGCAATCGATCATCTATTATCTGCAACGTTAACTCACCTAGGAGCTACCAACAAGGACAACGAAACGAAGGCGTCTCTATGATAGCGCGCGACAATGGTACGTGTAACAGCCTCTCAGCTCGTAAGAAGGAGAGAGAGAGAGAGAGAGAGAGAAAAAAAAGAGAAAAAAAATCTGCAGGAACAGACGGATGCTTTGGTCGGCCGAAGTCCCGCGATTCCGGCGCGAGGATTTTTGCGTCGCGCATCGATTTGTCGGCAAAGTCATCAAAGTGGGGGTGGTTTCTTGTACGATCAGGTGTATTGTTTGGCAAGGTTCTACTTCTTACTGTGGTGATAAAAACGCTGCACAAGCGAGATACTGTGAGTGGGAGTTTCCAACGTTTTACAAGACGGCAAAGTATCGGCCACGCATCGATCGATGCGACAATATATAATATATATAGATAGATAGATAGATATATAGATATATATATGTATGTAACATATGCGAGTATACGAATATATATACTCGAGCCCAAACGGTGGCGTGTGAAACAAGTAGAACTCTCGGAGAGAGGTACGCAAAGGGCGGGAAGTGTTTGGGTGCGGACCTCGTGAGGGTGGCGAATAATAATAATAATAATAATAATAATAATAACGATACCAATAATAACAATATATATGTATATATAAGTACCCGCGTCTAACGACTAGTTCAATAAGGTACGAATTTAATTAATGATATACGTACTACTAGCCTACACTTTGTACTAGTCGCCTGGCTAGGCGGAGGATGCGGGATATTTTTACGAGTTTCAAGCGCACCCGCGTCCAGTAACGCGTTTGCAAATTTCAGATTCTGTCGGCCGCCGGCAAGCTTATCTCTTTGCTGTGTTTGCAGGATCACTTTACTTTCCTTTACTTTCATAGGCAAAAGAGCTTGCGGGCGTGATACGCGTGCGTTCGACATCCTCGTCCCGTTGCGACGAAAGAAATGGAAAAAGAGAAAGAGATACGGACGGACAGAGAGAAAGATAGAGAGAGAGAGAGAGAGAAAGAGAGAGAGAGAGAGTGAGAGAGAAAGAAAGAGAGAGGCAGAGAGAGAAAGAGAGAGAGAGAAAGTTTGGTGAGAAAGCATGCAGAAGTGAATAAAGGTTGCCTTCCAACGAGCCCAAAGGAGAGCCAGCGCAAAGGTCGGTGAAGATTGGTCGTGAGCGTAGTGGCACGTGCTCGCACTTGGGTGATCAAGATACTTCGATATATATTATTTAAGTATAATTCGATAAATACACAGACACACAAAGAGAGAGAGAGAGAGATATTTATATATGTATATATTTACACGTAAAATGTGCAGGCAATAGTGATCTACGACTACATAAAGAGATCATGCCGAATGAAGTGTTGATGCTCACATACACGCACGCACGCAGGCCAGAAAAAATCTTTTTTTTGTTTTCATTTTCATTTATTTGGTAGCTGCAGTTGTTGCTGTTGTTGTTGTAGTTGTAGTTAAAACGAGTAAAAAATAAGGAAAGGTGCAAACTGTTACCTTTATTATTCGGTCAAGTCAAGCAAACCTCGGGGGTCCACGAGATACCGACGCATTCCCAGAGAGCCAAAGCAACGCAAATGTAATACACACTGTGTCTGGGGTAAGAAGGAGTCTCGGGTGGATTTCCGGGAGGGACCTGATAGGTCGGGGACGAGGTGGAAGACACGGGGACAGGAGGCTGGGAGCGTAATGATCGTGATCTCGCCCAGGGGTGAACGTGCTGTCACTCGAAATCTCGATGGGTATCGTCTTTAAGCCGTGGAGCCAGTGTGGAGTACAGTCACTCTAAATGTCACATCCTGGCGAGAACACAGCTATGACGAACTATGGTGAAGCGGGAACCGAGTCAATAAGCGCGGTGATATGTCGATGGCGGTGGATGATGAAATGGCGGCTGAGACTGGAGAACGGGCCGAGGGAGTGATGAAATGCATATTCCGAGGACCGACGTTCGACCCCGACAAATCTCGAAATTTCATTACAAGCTGGCAGGTCGTTGAAAATTCATTTGACTTTTGATTCCTCGACATACCTGAGGTCAACTGTTCGAACGTACGAAAAGTTATTTAATTATTTTATACGCATTGCGTATACACGTATCTTGAGGTCACGACATTAAAATGAATGCTCGTAAGTAGCTAATGTTTGTAAAGGGCTTAGTGAACGAGTTTACAACGATCGAAATTCTTGTAAATTTGGAAAAGAAAAAGGTGGAGATCGGAGATTATTGGATTATCGAGATGTCGTGTACGTCTGAATTTAATTTAAATCGGGGTAAAACGATCGAGGGAAGGCGAGGCATTTAGGAGCTCTAGGACAAGGGTTGGCGATCATCTAGTTACCTTTTACCTGTAGCTTGGCCGTGTACCTGACCTCGGCGGCGGGGTTCGCGGCGACGCAGGTATAGTCGCCGGAGTGCTCGGCCGCGAGATTCGTAATACTGAGGAGGCTCGAGTAAGGATCCAGTTGGGAGACGTTTGCGACGGATGCCAGATTCGGCGGCAAGGGAAAGGGACTTTGGCCGTCTTTCAGCCAGGATATAGTTAGGGGTGGATCTCCCGCCGCGACCCCGCACACCGTCCGCGTCCGCATCCCCTCGGATAGTCCCTCTTGGAACGTAAATGGCTCAATAATAGGGGGTACTGGAAAAGGTCAAGAGAGAAGAGAGAACCATACGTGAGAGCAAGAAAAAGATGGCACCAAAAAACGCAAGAACCTTGTAATACCAGGTATACGTGTTCTTTTCATATATATATGCATAAATATATATATATAGATTTATACTGTGAGACTGTATGTGTATATATATATATATTTCTCTTTTTTTCAGTTCTTTTTGCTTCCGTTCCTTCCGCTTCATATTAACAGTGGTACGTCCATGTATATGTAGATATATATATATATAGAATATAATATGTATATATATGTAAAATATATGTACAATAGAGGCAGTATAGTAACGTAGCAATGTAGAGGAGAGAGAGGGTGGCCCCGCCGCGGACCTGCCCCTGACGCCCTCACACCTTATACACTTAAATTGGCATCGCACACTTGCGCGCAGCATCCGATCCCTTTCAACGTAAGAGCGAGGCTTCATCTTTTCGAAGCTATCCGCATCGCTCCCTTCGCGATACTCACTTCGTGATTTTATACTTTTGACAGGATAAAGTGGCTTTTTCGTAAAATTCTTCGTGTCTAGAAATCTCGAGCGCTGCGAAGCACTGCTCAAATTAAAGGAAAAAAAAGAACAGTGAAACGGAGACAATTGAAAACGTTGAAATGGGAAAGAGTAAACGCGCGGCGTCGCTCTCGAAAAGTTAAAGCGCAACTTCCTTCTGAGGACGTGTGGGAGAGGTAGAGGCGGGTATCGTGCATAAGGAAGAGTCACGCTAAGCGTGAGCAATCTTTAATTACAAGTCACCAAGTCTCTACGTTCCTTGGTGACGAGAAGTCGGCAAGGTCCCGTCGTGGATTGCTTGGAAGCGCATCGCCAACGTGTTAGCCTCGAACTTGGATCTTTGGGCTGATTATACCCGACGGACTTCGCGGGCTCGAACCCGCGTCCACGCGAACTAGCACGCAACAATAGCCGTTGACGATAACGACCAGCGCAATTTCCATGTGCAGCCTCCATTTTCGAGCCTGGCCGACATAGTTCGCACGCACGCAACGGGCACACACACGCACACGCAAAACTCGGGCGGTCAGGCGGTCGTCGGGCAAATTGTAGGGGGCCTAGAGGAGGATTACCATGAACCACAAGCCGCTGCGTGTGCGATACCTCTGCGGCCACGTTACGGGCCACGCACGAGTAGTTGCCGTTGTGATCTGGAGATAAACTTTCAATCATCAGTATGCTATTGTACTGGTCCATATTGGTGACAGTGACGCGTTCCGACGGCCCCATCGAGCGTCCATCCTTAAGCCACGTGATGGACAGCGGCAGATCGCCTCTAGTCACCGAGCACGTCAGGGTGGTGCGTTCGCCGAGATGCAGGTCGCGATCTGCCGTGAACGGGCTAATTTTGGGGGGAACTGGAATAATAACAACGAGACAGCTCGTGAGCGCACGTTAATGGTACATAGACGGCAATCGGTAACATGGCACGTGTCTCGGGCCTCCTTCCACGCAATCCTATAAAACTTATCTACCATCCCCTAGCCTCGCATGACCTCGTATTTGCTCTTCGTTTTTCGATTGATTACACGACGACAGTCTTTCCGACCGTCTGCCCGGCATCGTGGAATTACTCTTTCGCTTTGTCGCGGCGGTCTCATTGCCAGATCGTCGTCTTCGGTCGGAATCGTCCACCTGCGACAATTCGTTGTCATAGGAAACCAAAAATGAGACCTTACCGATCACCGCGACGTCTCCGGATCTCCTGGCGCTGTGGCCTTGCTTGTTCCTTGCCCAGCAGGTGTACACCCCGGCGTCACCCTTCTTCTGCACGCTGCTGATCATCAGGGTGCCGTCCGCGAGCACCTTCTGACGTAAATCGTCTGGTAATTCGCGATTCGCTCTCTCCCACTTGATCTCCTCGATCGGATACCCGGCCACCGGGCACTTCAAGCGGAGAGTCTCGCCGGCGACGGCGGTCACTTTCGGGATCAGGCGTATGTAGGGAAGTCCTAGATGGGAAATTTCGCGTATTTTCTCTCATTTCTCCCGTCAATTTGATGAATTTCGAGCTGACGGGAAACCACGGTAGGATCGGTAATCTAATAACTGGCTGGAAAACGTCGTTTTCGCGAAAACATCGCGATTTAACACAATTTTCGAGATATATTTTCATATAATGTACTTTTCTAGATACTAAAATTTAAATTTGCTGCACTCCCTCTTTAATTAATGTCGCGTAATAATTAAAAGCTGATAGTACCGGGTCCTAATTTCAGGAAAAGTACGATCATATCACACTTTATACGTAATGATGATTTATGGTCATAAATTAGTGATAAGTCATTAATCATTGATGCGACTACTCGATATCAAAAAGCGAGAGGCGAGCTGTACCTCTGTGGTCAGTTTTGGAGCGGGTGCACCGCGTGAAATTAATTATAATTTGTCTCACATTATACACGATGATAATTAGCGGAAGGTACGTACCGTAAACATTCAGTCGCGCAGCATGTGTCACCTTTCCCGCGCGATTTTCGGCAGTGCAGGAATATTCACCGCCATCCTCCACCATAACGTGGCTTATATTGACGTGGGATATAACGTCGCCGTGCACCGTCACGTATTGGCCGATGACGAACCTTGCGCAACAATCGACGAGCTTTTGATTTGAAAGGCAATTTACGGAGTAATTCGCCATGTTCGGCGAATTTGCGAAGGATAACTAAATATTTCGCGTGATATTGGCACGTTAAAAAAAAAGAATTTTTTTAACGCGTAATAGCAGTTACGGTATAATCATGTTTCGCTGTCGCAATAGCACCGCAGGCAATAGCATTGCAATGCTATGTAATAAAAGCGCGATAAAACTGAAGATGGCAAAATGATACCTGGACCTTTCACGAGAAGCGTTTCGCATTTCTATCTGTTATCGGGTCTGACGCGGGCTAGACAGCTCTCAAATCGGTGCAATCTCGTGAATCTCGGTGAGTGCGCGCGAATCCCCGGCGTTATCGTTGCGCGTTATCGTTTAGAATTTGTCACGTTCCATCTCGGTCGAACGAGAACGAAACTACGGCCGGCGGAAAGTGCGTCCGGTTGCGAGCGAAGGGGGACGCGAGTGATAAGGGGTAGAGAAAGCCGGCGATAAAACGGGGATACGGCGAGGTCCGCGAGATGGTGGATCTTTTACGCCTATCAGTCGTTATCCTATATGTGGTGGAGCTTGCGCATGTCACTCTTTCCGAGGAGGTATATGCCATCCGCGCGATAAATATTCTCGTTTCCATCCTGGATATTACACGCGGAATTGCCTGCACGCGTGTATATATGTATACATATATATGCGACCGCGAACGACACCGCCAGAAATTATAGTTCAATTACGATAGTGATACAAATGACGTTTAAGATGCCTCGTGCGATTTACGATCCGTTTGCTTTTTTATTTTAGGGACGTCGATTCCTTGCCCCTCCGAGTTCTGCTAACAACATTAATACCCAGATAGCGTGCATGTCTGAAAGATATCTTTGAGACGGCATTAAGCTGTCTTTTAGACATGTACAGTGATGGACAGAATGGTTGCAACACTTTAAAAAAATGAGTTTAAGAACGCGCATTTAGAATTTAAATGCACGTTTCTAAACTTATTTATTAAAAAACCCTTCTGTCCGTGACTGTACAGTGATGGACAGAACGGTTGCAACATTTGAAAAATGCGGTTAGGAATGCGCATTTAGAATTTATATGTACGTTTCTAAACTTATTTATTTAAAAATCCCTTACGTGCGTGACTGTACAGCAATGGACAGAATGCTTGCAACAATAAAAAAAAAGAGTTTAGAAATGCACATTTATAATTTAAATGCACGTTTTTAAACTCATTTATTAAAAATTCATTCTGTCCATGACTGTACAGTGATGGACAGAACGGTTGCAACATTTAAAAAATGCGGTTAAGAATGCGCATTTAGAATTTATATGCACGTTTCTAAACTTATTTATTAAAAATCCCTTCTGTCCATGACTGTACAGTGATGGACAGAATGCTTGCAACACTTTTTTTTATAAGTTTAAAACGTGCATTTAGATTCAGGGTTACGTTCCAAAACATTTTCTCTTTGGAAAATTTTACTATCTATTAGTTCCGATCTAGAAATACTATAGATCAGAACTTACTAGATCCACTCGAAAAGGTTTCAGAATGGCCAGCGGGTAAAATGCTCCTCGGAGAAGATTTTGAAAATTAATCCTGAATCAAAACGCACGTTCCTAAACTCATTAAAAACAAAAAGTGTTGCAACCATTTTGTTCATTACTGTACATGTGTCTGAAAGTTGTCTCGATATTTTTATGATGTCTTTTAGACATGCATTGCTATTTGGGTAGTAACGCGTCACATATAACTAAAAAAAAAAACGGAAAACATAATGAATTTGATATCATAGACGAGAAATATGTAACTCAATGCCAAAATTACATACAATTGACGTAAATATTTTTCCTTCCTCTCTTTCACATCCCTTGCTCTTTATGCGGGATCATTAGTTACGCCGGTGAATTACGAGATATCAACTTCCAATTGGCGAGCACGCGGAATAACAGTAAAAAGTAGGCTATTTCAGTGAATTGGGACGAGCTTACCTTCCATTAGTCGGTAAGGGAAAACCGTCCAACGCCCATGATACCTGAGGTGTAGGATTTCCTGCGGCAGAACATTTTAAGGACACGGCGGGTCCTGGCTGGAGAGTTTGCTCGATGAACGAGTACAGGAGCACGGGCGGCGCGTCTGAAACGTTAACGTGTAAGGCGAGCTTAATTACGCGAAGGGGAATAAATTTATGCCGCTAACCGTTACCGTTAATCAAAGTTGCTAGAACACGAAAATACCTGGGAGCGATCGTTTAGAGTAAAAGAAGAAAAGGGGGGGGGGGAACCATGTTTCCGCGATGCGGAATTAATGCAAATTCAATATCGTGGATAAACCAATTCCTCGCTTTTGTTACAAAGGTATTTATATCCGTATTTATATCCTGCAGCTCGAGCTCGGTACCTAAAAATCCAAGCTGGAAAATTTTATCCTCGTATATCTCTTCGTATTTCCGCTCTATGAAAATGTGGATTACTGATATAATCCCACGCGAGTACCGCGACCCGGCAATAAAACGCGAGTGCAGCGGGAGTTAAACGAAGGGTTACGAATGAGCCGTCGAAAGAAGAAAGTGCGCGATATCCTGATCCTGAAAGCCGCTACGCGCTACGCCCAACGCACATTCGCGATGGGATGCGAGGGACAATGGACTTGCCGTCGTGGAAGAGCGGATATCTCTCTTTTCTTCGTCGAATGTTATTCCGGATCAACATAAAGAGTACAGGACCGATACCGAGTATCGCTCTGGGGTCGTGTTGCTAGCACATTATTCCTGTTTTATTTGGTAAAATAAATGAAGCAAGTGAGAGGAGTATATCGAGGGTGGGCCTGGACAGTCCAGTGGGAAGAGTTGTCGCTTGGTAAGCGAAAGGTCCCAGGTTCGAATTCATAGTCCAGTCCTCGCCCGTTAATTTTTTCCCCCAAAAGTTAGTGTGCGGCGCGTCTTGGCGCCCGCCTTCCTAAAGATACACCCCTATTTATTATTATACGAAGTTCGCGGGAGAGTGGGAGAGAAGGAGATCCCTTGTGGATTTTCGCGAGAGAATACGAGCCCGGAATCGGCCGTGTCGATTTTTCCGCTCGCGCCCGTAATTAAAAGCGTCGATTCCGTCGTCATTAAAAAAAGTCTCGTTGTCGCGCTCTTTGGGAACGCGGGACGGAGATAGTTTCGTCGTTGAAATGAATGCCGGATTCCCGGTGCTTCTCGCGCTCGCGAATCCATGTGCAAATTGATGAATCCCTCAATTCCTCTCGGTGGATCATCAGCGCGCCCATCGTAGTCGCGTCGCCGCGCCGCGGCTCTTTCACTTCCGGTCGATGAGATGGAATTTTAAGCGACGGTGATGGCGATCGACGTTGGCATTACAATATCTTGGAGCAAGACGTTCGCCGCTCGTTTTACCGCTTTCACGGTGATTGTATGTCCCGCGAGTAATTGATATCCATCATCATTCCAACGTCTGTCCAAGCGTGTGAAATAATGATGAAAGTCAGTAAAAGTATCGATGCGCGATGTACTCGCGTTCGGTATAAAATTCTGGATTCTTTTATTGGAATGCGACCAGGATTCTATCGCGGTGAAGTAACTGAATTTATATCCTTATCATTTTCTGGCGTTCGACGCTGCCGCGACCATTTCCGATGGAACAATATAAAAACGGCAAATTAAAGCGCCCGGACGTCAGTCGAATCGGTAAAAACGCGCGCGCAGACGGTTCCGCTTGAAACACGAGGAATTCATTTTGAGTAATTTGGCAGTTCTGCTCGCTCGAGGAAATGACTTTTCTGCCGCCGCTTCTATTCTGCTGCGTACCATAGAATACGCGCATTTGCCCCGACGCTTGAAATTGCACCGGGCGGAACATTTTACGTATAGCGGCGATACACGATATTCGTTTCACATGTATTATTAGCACGAGAGGAGAGAGAGAGAGAGAGAAAGAGAGGGGCTTGGTAAAAATTAATTTTGACTCTCATTTCCGGGTGTTAAATCATTAATAATCGTCGACATCGCTTTTAGAACAGCAACGATGTTTTACGCAAATCACTCTCTTCCCCGTCCATCAATGGCAGGGCGATTGAGTCGATTAAGCTGATCGCGAGAACATCGGTAACCGGCCGGCCAATCGTACACGCGGCTACTGTGCCGAGTGGATTTCACGAGTGAGAGGCGCTTGGATTTCGCGAAATGCACCTTGCACAATTTGCCGGGCGCTCTCTTCGGCCGCGGAAATGACCCTTTTTTCCCCCCCATTTTTTTTTTACAGCCGCTCTGGTTCCGACCGAGCCGTAGCGCGCCGGGCCAGTTTTTCTCGTCCTCGTCGTCCTCACGTGCGGCGAAATTGCATCGGGCGATAGCCTCGTCCTGCTCGCTCGCGCAAGCCAGGGCGACGCGTCCTTGCCGTCGGCGTTCGCCCGCTCGAATTCTCTTTGACGTAAATTCCGTGCATTACTGACGCTGACGAGCGAGAGACACTAACTTCATTGTTGTTTCAAAGGCCTTTCCTCCCTGCCGGCCCGCCCTGCCCCGCCGCCAACGCTCCCCGAACAACTGGTCTAGATATACAGGGTGTGTCCGGTCACGGTGCGGCGCGTTAACTATGTATTAACGGCAAGTTCTTGAACGAATTTTTAATGGTCTGCGAATATTTCGCAAATACCATTCGCTCTTTCGTCGCCGGCGCTTTTTGAAATTTTCACCGTTGAATATTCCAGGCGCAAAACTCCGAATTAAATCCCCGCCTAGGCGCAATCCACTTGGGGCTAATTAAGTTCCGCCGATGGAGTTTAATTCGTGAAAAAAAGGAGACTCCTCGATACCCCGCGTTAAATATTACCGTAATTAGAGCTGCACAATTTTTACTGAACAAAAGGCGACTTTTAATTCATCGAGGAATCTATTATTAAGGTCGATATCGCGCCGAGAGATAGACGCTCCACGCGCAGAACGCATCGAGGCGCTACAAGAACGGCCCGAGAGGGTGGGAGCGCACAGCTGCAAAACGAGGTAAAAGCGCTGTAAAAGAAGATCCCTCTCCGCTTCAAAGTGGTGCCTTACCCTACGGCCAGCAGCTCGGCACGCGGCAGCGGCCGCCTCTTTGCCGAGTAATCGAGTTCTGTGTAATTTGATAGGTAGTATAACGCGGGCTGTCGATCGGTGCGCAGTGTCTTCTCCCTCACTGGGACACCTTTGACAGCACCTTTCGAGGATGACACGGGAGCGAAAGAGAGAGGCAGAAATGGAGTGAGAGGGTGAGATCGCACGGGTCAATATCCTGGCGCAAGGAGATCGTGCCACCGTACTAGATGTCTCCGTTATTATGTGGGACCTCTGGGGATGATGCTGCTGCACTCGCGATCGGAACGCTGTTATTAGTACTTTCCGCGTGAAACCGCGAAGCACGGGCGATCGTTGCGCTGAACCTTTAATAGTTAACGTATTTAATTGACGAAATGTCTCTCCCTCGTGCTCGAGTGGAACGTCGCTCTCTCACGTCCTCTCCTGTCTAAAGTTAAAGTGTCCTTATCCGCGTAACGTTATTTCTCGCCGAGACGAGCACGACGCTCCTCCACATTAGTTAAAGCGCTTAATATTTCAACGGAGCTCGGAGATTCGCTCGGGCATTCTACAAAAATTCTCCAGTCACTTCGTGTTTCATTATTTTCGAGCTCTTTCCCCATCAACACGGCCGTGCCTTTCGATATTCACGCTCGCGTGAATTTCCCATGATATTCCTGATGTGATCCGTAACAGGAAGACAGGTGCCGAGGAAAGTATTTACATACCGCCCAGTTGAAGTTCCGCCGATGCCTGAGCCGTATCGCCTTCCGACCTTCTCACAATACATTGATACATCCCGCGGTCCTCCCTTCCGATTCCGTTGAGCTTCAGTAATTCCGATTGCCTTCCTGTCCCTGGAAGTTGCCGGCCATCCTTGTACCATGTGATAAAGTGTGGTCCAGCCTGCGGATGCGTGCCAACCTCGCACCTGAACTCGGCATTGCCTCCAAGATGAACGCTGAGTAATGGAGGCGTCACTTCCACGTGAAGAGGCGCCGTCACGATTAATCTGGGATCGTAACAAAAGTACCGATTATTATTAAAATTTTAATTCACGGTAGCATCATAGAATGACGCGTGATGGCTTAGCGATCAAAGTAAGATGACGTAATTGAAATACGCGTACGTAGGAATAATAAATTGACTTTAGATGAAAAAGTGGATAATTTATTTGACGAATTTAAGTCTCTATTACCTGATCTCAGCGCTCGCTTCGCCACCAGGATTGGAAGCGGAGCAGCGATACACACCGCTGTCCTCTAACGTTACCGCCTCGATGGCCAGCACAGAACCAAGAAGTCTGGTTCTGGGCCCGGAGAGTACCAACATTGGCTCTGCTCCTGTTTGCGCGTACCACCTGTAAGCGAGAGCATCGAAAATAGGACGGTCCTAGGCTGTAATCGTAGTCAAAAGTTTTCGCGCACGTTTGACTTTCTTTCTGTACAGTGCGACCCTGTTTTTGCTCCGCGTACTTTTAGCGTAGACGGTACAGTGGTGGTGGACAAAATGGGTGCGACACTTTTTAAAAAATAAATTCAGAAACGTGCATTTAGATTCAGGGTTACGTTTCAAAATCCTCTTCCCCGAGAAACATTTCACTCGATGTCCATTTCGAGACCATTTTGAGCGTGTCCAACCTATTTCTCGAGTAAAATTTTCCTCGGAGAAAATGTTTCGGTACGTAAACCTGAATCTAAATGCGCGTTCTTAAACTCTTTAAAAAAAGTGTCGCAACTATTCTGTCCATTGCTGTACACATTACGCAAGTAACGCAGCTCTGATTAGATTACTTCTAACGAAGAATGTCGATAAAACAGGCAGCTTTAGGATTCCCTTAATACACATTTTTACTACGTTTTTTTTAAGAATTCACGAGTTTTGCTTGTATGGGATAATAATTTTCAAAAGGCACCTACATTATACGTGGATAATTATGAATAAAATGAGAAATATATAGACACTAAATTTAAAATAAAAGGAAATAGTCGAAGAAAAAATTTTCTCATTTTGTTAAATAAAAATTATGAATTAGCGTTTGCAGGGATCGTAAGGCAAATGTACGAAATGGAGACAGATACGAAAGACTGATGCCTCAGATGCCGCTTATATTACAACACGATTTCTATTGTCGTATTCATCGATCGCGCATATAATATTCTATCGCGTTCGCTTGTAACGTCCGCCAAGTTCGTCGCATAATCGATTTCCAGCGGAGTCGTTGCAACGCGATGGGTTCAAGTGTTCGATGACAGCGTCGATAGACTGACACAATCTCCAAATAGTCTGCCTTGCTCTCCCTCTCTCGTTCTCTGTCACTTTGCCAGTGCCCCTCTTCTGTCTCTCGCACTCTACCTCGTTGACGAATAATTTTTCATCGAAAAGCAAAGCAGTTGGCGCGACAAAGAGGCGGTAAGAGGGGCACGAAGGGGGAGAGTGGTTCAATTTCGTTGGCTTTTCGGATACGTCGACCTAGAAACGACATCCAGCAGCGTTTATCCCCAGGATCCTCTCTCTATGGAGTCCCTGACAGTTCCCGATCGGACCGCACGTTCGGACTTTGACTCGTTCGGGAACATAAGGAGCTTCCTCCCGTCTTCCACATTCATATAATCCATCAAAGAATTCCGTTTAATTCAGTTTTAGAGATTTAACCCTCAAAACGAACTCGTGGGCCTTTGGTGCCTTAGCGATTTCAATTACTAAAGATTTCTCAAAAAACCCGCACAAGTTTGTAGGCGATTTTCTGTGAATAAAAATTAGTGATAGGGATACTTCAAAGCCAGAAGCTTGTTGGTATCAATCAGGTTTCGTTTATATGCGGAGCGACTGAAATCGGTAGCGGGCACGAAAGGTCCATAAGTTAGGTTTTCACTGACCGAAAGTAGAGTTTTGAAAAATTTGAAAAGTTGCAATGTTTCTAAATATTTTAAATTACAGAGAAATGTGTGCCTGACATATTAACTATTTGTATAATATAAACTAACACTCGAGGTGAGAAAAGTAACAATAAAAATTAATATAAAGAAGATCAGTGACGTGATAATGTTTTTCAAAGAAACTCAATTTGCGAGTTTTGTCTTTGGACACGAGGCGTTTCAGATTTAAATAGATACATATACTTTCTTCACGAGTATATCCTTAGGAACTATTTGTGATGTTTTATTAAAATTTTAATGCGACAGTAACGTTCGACGGTAAAATGAAAGTGCGATTTGAATGTCCACATAAAAAATTTAGTTGCAAAGTCGGGCCGATCGAACTTGGATCGCCGAGTCGTTAGAAGACGGAGGAGTTCGAAAGCACGGTAAGGCGTGTCGTAAAAGTACTTAAAAGTTGCGCGTGTCCATGGAATTCAATAAATTCCTCGGAGCTCCGAGGGAAGATCTTATCCGTGCGATTTGTCCGGGCGCTCTCGAATCGATCGGCCGCGCGCGGCCGTTACTCGCGCGATATATCGAGCGCTGCGATGTATCGGCGTCGCATAAATCTCGCGACAAATTTACGGCGCGCGCCTCTCGTATATGCGCGCATATAAATTCGCATAATGTATTCCTCGCGGGGCGAAGCGAGGCGGATGGAAGCGGGGCCCGAGTGCGGGTCTTAATAACGCGGTAGTATTTCACGAGCGGAATCGCCGCCGCGCGATACACGCGTTTCGGTCCCGCGAGACAATCGACCGCCCGTCGACGGGGTAGACGACTCGAAGCGTATTACGTGAATGTATTTTTCATAGAAGAGCTACGGCCCGGCCCGGCCATGTCGCGATATTGCCAATAAATTTTCATTCCGCCGAGCATTTTGCCGGGCTTTCCGCGGCTTCGGAGGAAAAGAAAAGAGCGAACACGGAGAGGAAAGTGTCTCTCATTTCGTACTATCCGGAATGCAGATTGCTTTAACCCGCCACGTTTCTCTTGAAAAGGGCTCTCTCCGCAGTTACGGGGTTCTTTTTATTAAACTTCTGATAAGACTCAAAGATTTCGAAATACGTTGGGAAAGTGGCTCATGTAACTTCTTTATCGTCCTTCGTTTATTCCTTGAGAGAAATAGGAGGGAATGTTTCTTTAATAGGGGACAGACGCGTCGCGGACGAAGTCACGGTACACGTCATGGGAGCCATCGTGAGCGTCCACTTTTTTTGACATTTATCAGCCACTTATTGTAGTTTGTAGACATGTTGGCGTTAGATATTATTTGGCACGTGTCCACCAATTGCAGAAAATGAGAAGGAAAGCCAAAACTAGGTTGTAATAAAAAAATGTTACATTTGCCAGTAGGTTGGGCTAATACGGTGATTTTTAAAATTCAATATCTCGATAACTATTCGTCCAAGCGCAAAATAGTACAGGACTTTTCTGTTTGTCTTAGTCCCCTCTACCTTCCCATGACCGGTGGTCAATATATTGCGTAGCACCCTGTATAAAGACACTTTTGCCCGTTTTGCTTAATGAAAACTGAATGCTTTCTTTTATTTCTTTACTCTATGCAAATTCTTACTACTCTCAGAACCGAAAGTTACGATGAAATCACGTGTCGGATATAGCGATTTGCCGCGTGCGTTAGAAACGCAGGCAAATAAAAGACTGTTTGTCAAATTCTCCGTGGCACTTTCTGCAAAGTGGCAAAAGATAAAGTACGGCGCTCGATTGTAGTCGTAGCGGAAAAGCGGGAAAACTTGGTCGGAAAACGCCAAGAGTCGCGAGCCGACAAGAATATATATATATCTCTCTCCCCCCTCTCTCTCTCTCTCTCTCTCTCTCTCTCTCTCTCTCTCTCTCTCTCTCTCTCTCTCATCTCGAGGCGACATGGAGAGCTTCCGATTGTGCCACCCTCTCGCGAGGCTTCACGATCGAGTGCTCCCACTTTTTCCCGATCAAAATCGCGTTCTCTCTCCTCTCCTCCCTCTCCTGTCCCATCTCGTTCGAGCACTTTGGTGCTCGTCTCTGCCCTTTTTCCTCCTCCATTTCTCGCCGAGCATCATCAGTCCTTTTCCCCTCGAATCTCATTCGTTCCGCAGGAAAAGGAAGGTGGATTAAAGGAAAGGATTGACGTCCTCGTATGTATGCCGTCCTCCTTTCCTGCCCGTCTACAAAGAAGATGCAAAATGCCTCAAAGCAGCGTCGCGTCATTGAAACGATAGGCTCGCGCACGTTTGCTCGTCCCTCGAGTGTCGATTTTCGGCGTACAAAGGCACTCGCGTTCCGTCTTTATGTCACCCGGTACGAGACGTTCGAGAGACGATCTCCGGTAAGTGGACGGCGGAGTGGCCCTTTTTCCTTTCTTTCTCTCTGCAGCAATAGTAGCGGCAACGAATAAATCCATTCTCAGTGCGCGCGGGTAACGAGGGGCGATCTCTCGCTTCGCTTTTCCGCGAGATTACTTTGTAATGGGAAAAGCTGCGGGAGAACGCGCGAGGTACCGTTTCTCTCCTGCTACGCGCCGGTTATATGAGACTCTCTACGACGGTGGACATTATTTAAAACGACACAGTGATTCCGTATAGCATTATAGCGGTATAATACACGACACGTTTCCTGCTTCTATCTTTTGTTTAATATATTTCTTATAAAAGTACGGATAATATTTCTTATTATTGCGTACAAACGCTTGCAATATTGCGAATCAAGAGCTAATAATATTTTACAAAAAGAGGACAATTATTTCACGTCATTGACATTTTTCAAAATTTTTTAAATGTCGAATCAGGAATGTACTGCTATTTTATATAATTCTGCGTTTTTTTACGTATCTTTAAGAGAAAACTAACTTTTTATCTTCATATTTCACTAGTAATTATACTCAGTATATATTTTACTACAATAGTAAAATGTATGGTAAAATTTCAAAAAACTCTCATAAAGTCTGCAAAATGCCATGTTGTCTCACGATTTTCAGAATACATTTTAAGGGGATGCTGGAATGATTCTGCACTTCTTGCACCTTTTGCTCCTGTCGATTCATGAAAACATTTGTGAATTATACAAATTATGTGGCTTTTGTGTACAGACCGACAGTGTTCCACTAGTCGGACTAAATCAAAGGACAGCATGGTATCATTGAAAATTAAGTTTAGAAGCCTAACAAAAAAATCTATTCACTCGAATAAGTTATAGGTTATCTTGCCGAAAGTGCAATCGGTTATAATCGCCCCGAACACTCGAATCATCTTGATCTTTGATGAATCCTAATAAAACTCTGTACTGGAATGTCTAGGCAAATGGGAGATTTTCTAGTTTATATAAGTCTCACTCTGTCCGCTTATAAAATAAGATAGAAAAGCGTTGACCAATCAAATTGCTAGAAAGAGGCAGAAATGGTACCGTCTGTCTGTCTTACTCTGTCCGTTTTCTTAACGCTCATACTAGGTGTATAATGAACTATATAGTTCATTAATAAATTCCGAAGCGTTTGATTAGAATAACGCCATTATAATAGTAGGCTGCGTCGCGACATTGGAGTGCCGAAAGTGTGTCGTGCGCGATCTCGATTCACCGCGCGTGCACGGGACGACTGCGTAATTAGCCTTCCGGGAGTCATTCGGCGCGCGCGGAAACGTGCGACCGACGGAGCGCGTCCGACGATCCGGTCTATCGCGCTAATTAGCGATCGTAATTAGTTATAATTTTCCGCTCGATTCACGATCCGCGCGAGTGAGCGAATGGATGACGGAGGCGGCGTTCTTCGATGGCGCGTGGAACCAATATATCGACGTCGAGGATCATCTAACGGCGACTGGGATACAACGAACGGCTGGTGAGCGCGTTCCTTTGGTTATTCACATGAATAATGAACTGTAATCGAGCATTCAGCATCCCTCACAAAAATGTAACAGCAATGTAACAAAAAAAAAAATGAAACGAACAAAACACTGAACAATTACTAGAGTTCAGTAATTAAATTATTAGAAATTACTGATGTACAGTGATTTTTTAGTAATTATTTCCCTTACATTTCTATAAGGGTTCTGTTGCTGAAAATACAAGTAATTGTCGATTATTTGTCAATCTTAAAACAGCTTTTTGTTGGGACAGTAAATTCACATACTTTAAATCTATATGTATAAGAAATATGTGAAAATTGCTTGCAAGATTTTCAGATGCCTCGAAATTTATTTTTTTTAACTGACTCAAATAGTCGTGCCTTACCCTACATACTTATTTTAAAAGTAAATGTAAGTATTTTGGAGGGGAATAGAAGCGACTAATTCTATGTGACTTGTATTATTTTCAAAATTTTCAAATAAATAAGAGAAATGAAAATATGAAAGAGCTCTAATAATTTTTGTGAGTCTTCGAAACTTTCCTATTCTCATAGCTTATAGTTTTTCCTGTAAATCGCATATTTTTGAATTTTAATAATAAGCCACTGTATAAAAGTTACTCATTTTTATGCAAAGGTGAAAAGATTTTAAAGTTCCCTTTGTTTGTATTTTATATTTAATCAACATAACTTTTTTAAATATATCCAGAATTCTTGGAAGTTTTTCTTCTTGTGCAGAGAGAGAGAGAAAAAGAAAGTGAGTGAGTGGAGAGACGAGAGGGAGGAGTGAATTCTATTAATTATATAAAATTGTAGGAAATGGATCACTAGCTTTATTTATAATATATAGGTGAAGCAAGTGTCTCGGAAAACTGATCTGAAAAGCGTTTCATATAAATAGAGTGAGCAAATTGCGCGCATCAATTTTTAATTTATTTCACGATTTAACTGTGTCTTACATTCAATCGATATCACGTCCGATTGCAAAGTTATAATGGTGGCATTTTGATGAATGTTGTGGTCGCGATATTTTGCGAGGTAGACGATAAAATACACAGTCCGTTTCGATGCGTTGACAGTGATAATTTTCGCAATCCGTAATTTCCCAATTGTATGTATATTATTCAATATAACCGTGTCTATAGAATATTTATATGAAAAATATTTTAATTGAAAGATTGTTGTTTACAGTGATGTAATCTTAACATTAGTAGTAAAATCTTTATGACAAAACAGGCAGCATTAACAAATTCACCGCCAATCGTATTTTCATCTGATTTTCCAGTTACGCCAATTCAATTATTTCATGATAAAAGGAATTATTATTATTTATTTACTAATATTTACAATATTTAATATACTTAATGTATGTATATTGCTTTACACCAAAATATGATGTGCGACGTATTTATTCACTGTCATTCTATCATCAGTGATCGACAAGGCGTGAACGGAAGACTCAATGCCGATTACCAGCGACCGCCGTGACAGTGAGCACGTATTAATTATAGCTTTAAAAGTATTAAAAACAAGTTTTATTTGCAATACTATTGAAAATTGTAATTCGAAATTTAGATTTGTATTGAATGCGTGCAATCTCAATCTGACAAGTATCCAAATTTATTTTCCTATAATTTTACTGTAAACCTTAGAGAAAGAAAGAGGGGAGGGGGATGAAGGGAGAAACAGAGTGATTTTTCACTGCGTACAAAGAGCATCCCCCGACGATCGGTTAGGATTGCTTTTTGGGTCTTATTCTGTAGAAATGTGCTTTGTAACGCCGTATCCATCTCAAACTACGTAGCTGTGGAACAGGATAGAAGGAGCGAAGAGCGAAAAGAAGAAACGGAGCTTAATCTTACGGAATAGACAATAGACCCCCGAGGCTTCTAAAGCGAGAGCTTTCGGATATCCGGCGCATTTTGTTTCGCGGGCACGCGGTGTCGCAGTGACGGAACCAAGAGAACGGAACGTTGGCGATCGCGTCGTGGGTCGCGATCTCGAATTGCGACTGGGGGGACCGAGGCCGCCCGCCGGTTGGTCGGCCGACGGTGCACAGACACGATCAGCTGATCGTGCGGCACGTGTTCGCGGCGCCTAACTGACCTAGCCCTACGCGCGAGTTCCCGGGAGCGTTTACGCGCGTAGTACTACGCTGAAACCGTGAATGGATATCGCAGACATGTTTTTCTGAGGCGCCTATGACTCAACGAGAAATACTGGTCGATATGCGGGGACAAGAGCGCGGGTATCACTTCGCGCGACTATCTCGCACGCGTCTGCGCTCGCAATGAGCGATTGTACGCATGGTTTACGATTTGCTTGCAACACAGAAGGGTTGTTCGCGTCGCATGTCGCAATATGCTCCTGTTCGCCTCAACGACCGATGTCGTCACTGAGATCATAAATAAAATGTCGGTACTAGTCGTTGGGGCGAATAGGAGCATACCGGGGCACGCGACGCGACAAATCTAGAGCAGTGATGGTCGGCTGGCGACCCGCGGGCCAAATTCGGCCAGGGGGTGGATCCTTGAATTCACTCGCGTGATAAACGTAATGCGCAAATTCTGCTCTTACGAAAAAGTTGTAAGTCGATTGGAAGCCACGCGAACAGCCAATCGACTTGCAAGTTATCTGTAGGAATAGAATTTTCGTACGCGTTTTTCTTTCGAGTGAATTCAAGAATCGAGCACCAGCTGTTTTTCCGGGCCGCCATTAATTTCAATTTATATACCATATTTTTACGTAACCCTTTGAAACACGATGCATCAAACTTAATCTACTGTCTTTTGAATGTTGAAAAAATATTTCTTAAAAATTTTATACCTAAGTGGTCTTTTGAATCGGTGATTTCTAATCTGTGGTAAAAAATTTTGCATTTTCAATGCTCTGTGTCGGATCTGCCATTTTGAATTAAAAAAATCTACCAAAGTTGACTCTGCATTCATAGTCGGCGTTCTCAAAATACTAATATGGCATAAAGGCACATAACGAAGTGGTTGTAAGCAAATTACCTTCACTTCTTCTATTTTTGCTGACTTCTGCGGCGCAAATCCCCGCGCGGCATAAATGCCGGAGTTACCCTAAATGCAATATAATGGCTCCGGCTTTTTTTATTCTGTCTCTCAGTTCATCTTAATTTCACCATCACCGATATAGAGAATAGAGAGAACGTTAATTTTTGTCGTACGTTTGACGCGTCTGGATTGGAAAAGAATTATCGGAAAGTCGATATAAAGAATCTCTCTTAACATCTTCTTGACATCTCCCTCGATTAAAAGATTTTTTATTCTTATACGCGGTAGGAAAAGAAAAGAAGAAGAAACGATACCTTCTTTGTCGAAAAATGTTTTCAATTGTCTTTTAAAGTACATATCTAAAAGACGACGAGAAATCGAAGAATTATGACACGAAAGCGGTAACGGACAGTGTTCTCGCTCTTGAGATCGCGGATAGTGTTGGAGGGTTTTTCGCAAAAACTTACCGATATTCGGGCGAAGGGCAGGCCTGCGCCACGCAGACTAACGACGTCGATTCGTCCTGGGCGACGTGAACGACACCGGAGTTTTCGAGTATCACGGGAGGCATTACGCCTCTGTGATCTGTGAAGCAGAATGCAGAAAACTCGGCGCGTCACAAACAGCGGTTTCCGGCGCGGTGCACGGCAGTTTCCTTCGAAACTTATCGGCGTTACCGAGACTCACCTGCTATCCTAATGTTGGCCATAGAACTAACGACCACTTGTCTCGTGAGACGGTGCATCGTGCGGCATCTGTAGCCGTTCAGCTGGTCGCTGAACTCGAGGCTGTGCACCAGAAGCTCTCCCGTGGGAAGCAGGTGGAACTTGCCATCTATAAAATAGCGATCGAGAGCGTCATGAAATGTCAAACGTATCGAAAGACGTCGTCCGGTACACAAGACGTCCCAGAAAACCTGTATAATACTAAAGTATCTCTGCTTTCGACCTTCTTACAGATCTCTGCATTTAATCTTGAAAGTTTGAAAAGACAATGTAGTCTGCTGTCCAGTTTTTGCCGGTAGAAGTAGATATCGCGAGCATTTATCCGACTGCTGGGGAGATTATTTTCAGAATAGTTTATATATGAATTTCATTATGAACATTTCTCTGTCCTTTTTCATCTTGTATTATAATGCGTATGTAAATATCTCGGGATATTTGCTCTCCGCGATCGATCGCAAAATTCGTGGGCCCGAAACAACACTTCGCTGGAGTTCCCGCTCGCCGTGCATGAATAATACACGACTTCCTAATCCCGCCGTATTATTCATATTGAATGCGCCGCGGCAATAATTGGGATCAACGTTTCCCGATAAACCGTGTCGGTTATCTTTAACTACCGCGATAACGCCACGCCCTGCCGGATTACGATATTTTCGGGCACGGCCGCACTCGGCTGCACGATAATTACGCTAATTCCACGGCTCCACCCTTGTCCGATCTACGTGACACTGGAAACGCCGCCCCCTCCCACTCCCCCTGCGCTTTCTCTCTTGCCCGAACTGAGCACGGGGTTCCCTTAGATAAGCCCGACCGCAACATTTAACGACCACAATTATCCTAAATAGTTGCGAAGCCTGCCTGGGAAACTTAAACCTTTTCGAGATCCACGCGAATCGCGTTCTACGTGCACCGTCGTTGTTTTGTGCGCGACTTACGTCGCGCACGTACACGGACGGTTACCGAGTAATATATTCGATAAATATTAAAATTGTTCCACCTTTTGATATGTAAATCAGTTGGATTCAAGTTTAAATTTATGCAGTCTCGCGAGAGCTATTTTCGTTTTATTAGAAGCGCCGATTAATAATTCATTATCGATTAATAATTTAATAATGACGGCACAAGAGAGGAAGGGTTTTTCGCAATGAAAATTTTTTATGGGAAATAGAATAGACTACCTAATATTAAAATTGAACGGTTCCGACCGAACATACTGAAAAAAAAAATTCCCACTGTATTCTACTAATTTTAGAGAATCAGCATTTCGAGTTCAAGGGGATCATGCTGGAGTGGTTTGATTTACCGACAGAGTCGCATACAGTTTTTGGAGGTTTGTAAATCTTACCTCAAGGAACGTAACCTCAATATGTCATATTATAGATACAAACGAAAATAATTATGTAGCATTTATGTACAAACTAATACCAGACCCAAGTGTAGAATGCATAGTAGAACATTTTCATATAAAAAACATTGAGGTTTGAAGTCTAATTCGTATCGCATTATGTATTACAAATATTGCAATACATAATGCGATACGAATTAGACTTCAAACCTCAATGTTTTTTATATGAAAATGTTCAACTATGCATTCTACACTTGGGTCTGGTATTAGTTTGTACATAAATGCAAATAATAAGATTTACAAACGCAAAAACGGTATCCGACTCGGTCGGTAAATCAAACCACTCCAGCATCCCCTTAACGAGTTTAGCGAAGATCGAAGCGACAAGAAAAATTTGATTGCAATTTGTCGTGGAATCTGTCGTCAAAGTATCTCTAGTCGAGCGCGACAAAAAATTACCGACGTTTCCTCCAATAGTGGCCGTGCTTTCGCGCACGGAAGATGTTTTGTACGCGGTATATCTGTTCTTTTATGGCCGTGTGTAACAACTGTGCATACACTTACGCGGCTGAGTGAGCTCGTTCGTGAGACATTAGAGCAGCTAAGAGCGGCAGCTGCGATAAGGCAGCCTTCTGAATAGATTGTCCGCTAAGTCAGGTGGACCGAATGGCCTATGTAGTTTAGGTATTACATTCGACGGGCTGGAGCCTATATGGCCGGGTGCGCGGACCCATTCACTATGGATGCGACACGCGTATGTATATATCGCTCGTACATGAGCCGGGCGCTATGTACATGCAGCGAATTACGTTCAACCTGATACCGATGCAATCGCGATAGCGCGCGTGCGCGGATACAACGTGAAAAAAAACATCTTCCCACGCAATACGAGAGTATTATACCGGAAGTGAGATATCACGTGAGATTATAGCGGCTGAATATTATAATAGTGAAACTAGGAATGTGAGGCCAAGACTTGTAAATACTTTCTCTGGTAAAGAGTCGAATCTTTTACAAATAATATTCCAACTTTAAGAACAAAATTGTTAATAATGTATTAATAATTGTTATCACACATATTATCTTTATTAAATATTAAAACCAAAGTAATGTAAAAACTTAAATTTGTAACATAATTTCATCGTTTTCCTCTCTGTTTTCCTCTCTTAAATAAATTTCTTTCTGTTTACCAAGAGTTTCTGTTGTTACAAATAATTTTGACTCGAAGAAAATAATATTTTTAGCAAAATACTCATAAAAGATTCGAACATATTTGATCCAGGTTCGAGTCTACATGGATGAAAGTATTACTTTTGTTTTTCGTGAAACTCATAGACGATTCGAATCCATTTCAATCCAAATTCGAGTACACAGAGTAATCATAAAGAGTTCGAAATTACGCCAACGGATTTAAGCCTACTTGTAAGAAACTTAAAGGGATGCTGGAGTGATTCTGCATCATCACTAGTCGAAACAGATTTTACGATGATTGATCTCATTCTCGGTTTAAGTATCTCGCGGATCGTGAAAAATCGCTTTTACGAAGAAAAGGATATACTGTATAATACATATAAGTACGGATAGCAACGCGGCCTCTATTGTAACCAGTACTCTTGGTTTAGCAACTGCTAATTACGACCACTAATCAAATCGCGGTACGCAAAATGTTTAATTATGTGCAACGCTTCTATCTCGCGCTCTTGTGCGCAATTTTCCGGGGGCGGACTCGCGTTTACAGCAAATCTGATTAATCTCTGCGAGCTACTAATGAACCCGACAATCCTGACTCGCGCATCCCGCACCGCGAGCTGAAGGAGACGCCGCATTATTGTGGATATTAAATTTCATCGCGGGCGTCCGCGGCGGATATTAAATTTTAGTTCTCGTAGGCAATGGCCATAGTCGAGCGCCCCAGCATAGCGCCGCGTAGCAGTGGCTACACTGAAATCGCCTCGTATTGTCGCTATATCCGTATTATTCTTTTTTTCCCTCCCTATTGCCACCGCGCTACTACATCCGCGAAAATCCGCCCGGAATGTTGCCCGGTTCGCATCGGTCTTTGCAGCCGCGAGAGCCCGGATTAACGAAATTATTTCAAGATCCCAGCTACAGTAGTAAACTTTGAATCGGGGAAATATTTATATACATTTTTGCAGAGATAAAAATTATTAGATGCATGGAAATGTAGAACAAAGTATTCAAAGTAGGAATAAAATATATTGTACAATAATATAGTTAAACATTTAGACTCGTGGATTGGCACGATGACGAGAGAAAGAAAATTTCAATATCACAATAAAGCGACGTGGAAAATTCGCGACAAGTCGATTATATATTTAAGTACAAAGCTTCTAGAATTTAATTATGTTAAAAGTTACTACGAGTTTTCATCGAAAATCCCCGACGCGGTGGAATCACGCGTCTCGTGTATGCACATACGCGGAATAATTGCAGCACGTGCCTCCCATTGTTTCACCTTCTCGGCGCGACTTAATCCCTACCGTGTATCTCGTTGCGAAACCACGAAAATTTATTCTCCCGCGTGAGATGATTTACGTTACCAAGCAAACCTCTTGTATGCGGATGTAAAAAATGTTATGCATCTTAAATTTTTCAATTGGACTTTAGTTAGCCCTTTGCGCGGCGCTGCCACGCGGAATTTTACGTTTTCGTACCACGAAGAGACGTATATGCGCTCGCACGTGGACTTTCGTTATAAACATTTACCTCCTTGTAGCGAGGGATATATGTAGGACGAAGGTTCGTGCAGCCAGGATACGACGCGCACCAAATCTTTGACATAGCTGGGTATGATGCAGCGTAATATTGCAGTGCATCCCCTCGATGCACCCCCCGTCACCTCCACTTCAACTTTGTATGCCTGAGCCACCACTGCAAACAGCAATAAAATCTCACATGAAGCCATATGTTCCAGCAATCTCGTACAAATTATAGAACAATAGCTTACGCGGTAATTTCCGTTTTCGCACATATATAATTTCTTTTCTTAAAAAGTAAATTAAATGACATGCTATGAAAAGAAACATTTGTACGACGCGTAATCTGTAATTGTTATGATGATTAAGATAATTATATGTCAGCCTGCTCCTTGATTCACCGTTGCGTTTTACTCTTTAAATTTCGTAGCCCAGTTTTGTAAAGGAAGAGCTAGAGGGGCGCTGCAAAAAATTACAAGTCGTCATTATGTCGAGCTAACAGCGTAACGAGACAGCGAGCGAGGATTCAGCGTGTCTGTGCCTCTAATTGCCACCGTAATGAAAAAGCAATCGCAGTTACCCCGACAGTCTCGTTTTCAATTACATCGTCACCGTCTTGCTACACCGTGAAAGCACGTTGCCTTGTATAACGGCCGTGTACGACACTATGTATATACACACAGGGTGTCGCACACGTCGTTACGCCGTAACCGTCGGGTGAATCTCGACGTCGGGGATGCGTCGAGGCATGAGACGCGAGCGTATAACGAACGTCTCGCTCTTTCTCCTCCCGTCCTCCCACCCTCCTTCCTCTTCCTCTCTTCCCTTTCCTTTTTCGTCCGGCGTCGCTCTCTCGCGCTCGAGAGGCACCGTACCCTCGTCCGGGGTGATTTTATTTACGTGGAAATTCCAAGGGCGACGGCCAGCCCCGCCACCGACGGTGCAGTCTGACAGGCCGACGTCGCGACGCCGCGACGCGGAGGCTAAAGCCCCGGTTACGGCGTCCGGAATTTCTTCTCTGTGTTCCTCCCCCGCCCCTTCGAAACTCTCGGACCCGCGCGAGGACTTTGTCTCGCGTTTTTCTCCCTTTCAGCTTACCCGAGTCCCCCGCTTCCCCCGTTTCCACTCGCATGCCACTCGTCTCGCTTTTTCTCGTTTCTCGCGACTCTCGTGAAAAATATCGCGTTGGATCATGGTGTCATCACTCGAGGGTATTATTAAAGTGTATTTTCATATAAAATATCATCTACAGGGTGTCTGAGAAAAAATTAGTCAATTTGAAAATAATGGTAGATTGGGTTGAACCAAGAAGAAAAGTCATGTGCCGCAAAATTCGCAATAGTTATCGAGTAATTAATTTACACGTCTGAGCGAATGAGCACGTAGAATACGGTAGGCCGTACTCGGAAGGAAAATTGATCCATGAGCGGGAGGTGGAGCTATGCGTGAGATACACCGCGGTGGGAAAAAACAGCGAACGCGGTGGCGAGTGCGGCGTGGGCGTCCAGAGACATAAGTCCGGCCTACCGTATTCTACGTGTTCATTCGCTCAGACGTGTAAATTAATTACTCGATAAGTATTGCGAATTTTGCAACGCGGTACATAACTTTTCTTCTTAGTTTAACCCAATCTACCACTATTTTCAAATTGGCTACTTTTTATCAGACACCCTGTATATGTAATATATATGTATATACGTAGATATTATTTCGGAAATAGATTTATACAGGGTATCCCGTATAAATAGGATAAAGATCAGTACTATTGTGGTGAAAGAATAAGTTAGAGAATAAGGATCTTTTTAGCAAAAGTTTCGAAAATGTTTTTCAGATAACCTATTTAATACGCCAATACAGTGCTGTTCCTTGGTTTTTCGTATAAATGATTCCTTGTGTGAAAATTCTGACGCTAATAAAATCTAACATTTCCTATGATAAAACACTTGACAAAGATTTATTTGAACTGACATAATTCAGAACCGAAGAACACTTTTTGAGAGCCCTTCTGTCGCAGAAGAACGTTTATTTACTATTTTATGTCAAATAAAATTTCTCCAAGTAATTTATTTAAAAAGTGTAAATATTAGATCTATAATAATTATAATAAAATTGCTAAAAAATCATTTTCACGAAGAATCAAGAAACAGTAAATTCACTGTGTTAGCAAATATTAAGAAATAAGATCTCAAATACGATAGGTTCTTGGACATTTTTCCAGAGGAAAAAATGCTTATTGTACATACATATACAACCTTGCATGTTTGTATGGATTTTTTCTTATTCTGAAGTCCTGATTTGCTGTGCAACTATTATATGTCGCACGTATATGACGATTTATTCGATTTCCGAGATTCTCTATAATCAAACTTTAATTTTTCCCTTTCGAAATTATCACAAACGCGTTCGTAACTTTTGGCGCGAAATCGCTCGCGTAAAGCACGTTTGCTTCATCGAGCACGCGCGGAGAAGAAATTTCTTCCGTTAAATCGAAAGAGAGAGAGAGAGAGAGAGAGAGAGAGAGAGAGAGAGAGAGAGAGAGAGAGAGAGAGAGAAAGAGAGAGAGAGAGAAAGAACTGAAAGTAAAGTTTTAATTAACGGTCACACGTCCAGGCCAGAACTTTATGGCCGCGAGGGGGTTAGTAGTTGGAAATCCTGAAAGCGCCGGGTCGACCTCGCAGCTGCCACGGATTTGCATTCAGATTGCATTTTTTTTTTAAGAGGTAATTACACTGCGCGACCAGAAGGGAACCTACGCGCATCTCATCTGCATCGGTCGGTGCTCGGCAAGCCTCGTTCGGTTCTAACGCCTGTTTCACACTGATCCTCTTTCGCAATTGGTATTTTTTCCCCGTACAGGCAATTGGATTGCACACACATTTGAAAACTATCGTTTGGAAGAGTGTTTCTTGCGGTATAAAAACTTGATAGAAATGTGGCTTCTGATTGCTTAAGGACGTTCGGCAAATCGATTTTCTACGTATTTGCTTCAAATTTGGACCATATGCTATTAATATAGTGTTATCTATATGTCTGCTCAATTTGAAAAACCGTATCCGTACCCAAGTCGAGATATTCAATATCAAAGTTACTCGTTCGATATTGGCGAAACGTGTTTTACAAGGATATTTTAATTTATTGTGATAGAAATTGTTTATGTATTTTGCTAAAAAAATAATACGGAAAAAAGCCGAACGTGGGCGCAAAACTTTTGGTTAAGATTACAGCTCCGTTAAGGGAATCCTAAAGCCGCTGGCGAACTCGATCAGTGTCGATAAGATTGGAGACGGAATTAAAAAAGTCAATTATCGACATTTTTAATTCCAAGTTCTACTCGGTCCAAGAAAGTTGTAGCCAGTCAATTTACAACTTTTACGAAAAAGCAGCAATTTTATTAATTACACATTGCTCAGACCGAAATTTTGGATCGGATTCTAGCATCGTCAACACCATGGCTTTACTGACAATCTGACAGATGTTTGGCAGCAACCCCTCTCGAAAAAGCCTTCAACTATTTCTACACGCCATACTGCTCTTTTTCTCTCCTTCTAGATTTGGATTTCTGGACTTGCGTTTAATTAGAAGTAATCTTTTTTCTAGGCTATTAATCTCAGTTCTAATGGCACAATATTGTTCTTATATGTTGTCCCTAGAATATGCTGGTGTCATTTTGTATATATTTATTGTAGAATTCTTATATCAAGCAAATATTGTCAAGTGTACAAAAAAATAGTAAAATTTCTTTTTCGTTTTCGATATAAAGTCGACCAGCATAGTCTAGATTTTGCTGTGTACTTTAATTCTGTAAAAGAGTTTTGCATTTCTATAAAGCCAATTAAAAGGTTACTTCTAACAAAGAATGTCGATAAAACAGACGGCTTTAGGATCCCCTTAAGGTATTTTTAATAATCCGTGATGGGGGACATAATTTTACAGACAATATGAAAGCGCGTCCAAATAACTTTAGAAAGAGTATCAAATCGCACTCTCGGATATCTGCTTAAACGAGAAATACGATAAGTGTATCTAATCGTGAGAACAAACCGCCAGAAAAATATTTTTACTGATTTACATATTTAACGTGTTGCCATTGAGGCTTAATCGGCAAATATTTCTTAAATAAATTGAGGCGTGTCGTGCGTGCGACCGAATTTCTTTACACAAAGCTATTGCGGAGGTTTTGCGGCTCACCCCCAATTGCAATTCGAACGTACATAGCGCGCGAGCGTTCTCGCTCTGTACGATTACGGCCCGTGTAAAACTGGCCTATCCGCGATTCCGCGTTTTATCGCACGCGAGAGGCGAGCCGCGCGCATCCATCGCAATTACTGTTGACTCGCGCCAAATATCCGCGGCATTCGCGTAATCCGCTTAATAGACTTTTCCAATGGTCCGGCGCGCGGCGGCCGCGGGCGAAGCTCTAATATGACAGCCGTCCCGATTACGCGCCTGCCGTTCCTTAATTAAAGGATACCTCGGTAAATAACGGATATAATTGCGTGGGCACTCGCCATGTATGTAATGCGATAAAACGTTTGCGAACTTTTTTTCCCCGATGATAATAGGACATGCGCGACAAATAGGTAAATTAAAAAGTATTCGACAAAGCAATTTGCCCCACAAAGTTGCCGATTTTGGGTTCTAACTTTCCCTTTATTTATATCTCGCTCAATGCAGCTTGAAATGTAATTACGGTGTACAGAATGTACAGTCGTGGACAGAATGGTTGCACTACGTTTTTTTTTTTATAAATGAGATTAGGATTAGCGCATTTTTAGATTCTGAATGAAAACCACTACCTTTGAGCTACTACTAGACTCTAACTTTTCTTTTATGCATACTTTATTCAATGTATTTTGAACTGTAACTACGTTGCATAGTTGTGGACAAATTATAGTTGCACCACGTTTTTTATAAATGAATTTAAGATCAGCGCATTTATAGATTCCGAATGAAAACTACTACCTTTGAACTACTACACTGAAAAAAATTTCTGGTTGAATATGGACGAATCAGATAATTCCTTTAGGATTTACCAGAATTCCTTTAGGATTTACCAGAATTTCTGTAGGATTATAGGAATTCTGGTAAATCCTAAAGGAATTCTGGTAAATCCTAAAGGAATTATCTGATTCGTCCATATTCAACCAGAAATTTTTTCAGTGTACTATACTATGGCACACGTATACGATATAACCATTCCATAAGCGAAGATGATAGTTTTTATCTGAATCTAAACGCGCGTTTCTAAACTTGTTGCAAACATTCTGTCAACAATTGTACATACTTATGTTACTAAAAATTGTAAAGTCGAACACACGCTTTATTAGTATTTTATAGAGTTGGAAAATGTTTCCTCTCCGGTATTTTGCTCGTGGTACAACGGAAGTGAATCTCGCTTACCCGCTCTGACTTGTACATCGCGACTGAGCACTCTGCCGACGGTGTTGCTCGCCACGCATCTGTACGCGGCGCTATGAACGTCCTGCCGATAAGCCGCAGCCGGAAATGGCAGGAGCACCAGGGTGCCGTTTCTGAGCACTCTTCGCACGCCCGACACATCGTTCACCGGATGCCCGTCCGCGGTGGACCAGTCGATGTTGGGCGGCGGACTTCCGGAAGCCGTGCAGTCCAACCAAGCGCCGCTGGAATTGGAGAATTCGATCCTCGACGGCGGTTCCAGCACGAAGCCGGGGCCGCGTAGGTGCGCGTCGAAGCCGTGCCCGCCTGCGGACGTTACTACAGCGGCTGCACCTGCACAGAAATCCGTATTCTTCTATGAAGAAATAAAAATGTACAATGTAGAATAATGATTCTTAGTGTTCTACAATTGTGTCGCTATTAAATAAACTCTCGTCTGTTTAAAAGAACTTTAAATTAAATACCTTAAAAATTTACTGTTATATTAAGTATGTTATTCTAAAAGCACAAATGTACTTTATTTATCTCTTTATTTTATCACGGATGACAAAGAGAATAAATCTCTTCGCGTATTTCTTATAGATGTCAGGATTTTTAAAAGAATTTCCTAAAAACGTGCACGACACAGGATACAAACAGGAGGACTTGCAAGTTTCTGTCACCCAAGCAGGACAAAAAGCCATTAAAAAGTCATGACACATAAACGTGATTATTTTTTAAATTCAAGATGATACCATTTGACATTTTTAACGAAACGTAATTTGCCTTTTCTTACGACTATGTTCTGACTTTTCCATGACTTTCGTCGAAAGAACACAAATCACTCGTGCATGCAAAGTGATAAAAATATCGTATAATATTATATTTTACAAATTTCTGAAGATACTTGATTTTTAAAGCATTGACATCCTGATCATTCACAGGATATAAGATAAAAAATCAAGACTACGAATCTAACAAAATATTGAATATTGCGCGTTATCATATGCTTATCATAATAGTGTCATTCCTGTTAAAAAGAACATTTTGTATCCATGACTATTCATTATTACCATATTTAGGACTTCACATATAATCGCGAGTATCGGAAATAATCCAAGTTCAAATTATTGTGCGTGTCAAGCGGCATCTCTAAATTTCAAAATGATCGATTTTCTGTCACAATCAAGATACGACTTTTTGTTAGTCATTGCGATATCATTTCGATGTCATTTCGATTTCATCATTTTGTTCTGCTTGGGCCACTCTTGGATAAACTGCTAACGGACAGATTCAACGCAACATAATAGATATGTTGTATACATATATTATATTCATAACGTGTGCGACACATGTCGCGTCGAAACGCTTCGAACGGTAACATCGGAAAGTGAGGGGTATCACACTGACGGCCAGTCGTATCTATTAGGTGGAAAATAGTTTGACAAGTTCCAAAGTGGATTAATCGACGCGCTTAGTGTGCCTGGCGCGGCGCGGCGCGGCGTCGCCCGGTTGAACGATGCTGCTGCGGTGCAACTAATACGTCGGGCAAGTTATTCTCTTCGGAGTAGCGCGCGCGCCAGAGAGAGAGAGAGAGAGAGAGAGAGAGAGAGAGAGAGAGAGAGAGAGAGACCCGCTTCTCGGGCATAAATGCTTTGATCGAGGGCGTGAAAGCACGAGTCAGCAACTACCTACTTGCCAGCTTTTGTATCGTTAGCGCAGTTAGTATATAATAACTCCCCGTCCACAGGCAGCATCCCTCGTGTCAATGTTACGACGAAATTTGCGAGCCATGGGGGCCGGGCAATAAATTTCGGGCCGTTCGCTGGCTTAGCCTACGCAGCCTCATATTCGCGCTTAAACTTGACTCACAACCGTTGTTCATGCAACTCCGCTAATGGTGTCGTACCTCGTAGTAAACCTAGTTCCTAAGTTTTTTTTTATAAATTGCCTTCCGTTCTTTTTCTCCTCCATATCTTCCTTACATCGTTTCTTGTTCTCATCAAAGCCCAAATTTCTGCTGTTAGCTGGGGTGCAGGCAAATGCACTTGTCAAAATTGGCAAGCATGTATTCATTCAAGAGCCTGACTTTGTCGTCAATACTCTCAGACTTAAAGAGGTCCTCCCAGTTTCTTGAATCGCGTAGTCGCAATTAAGAGAAATACTTTTTTAAATTCCAAACAATTTTTTTATGTAATTGTAAATCCCCATATTGCCATTTTTAAAACGTGTCGCTTGCGATTTGAATGAAAGCTGGGAGAAGTCAAGAGGGGCAACTAATTGCACTGATTTACGAGAGATCGTGGACGGATAAATGAAATGGTATCTCTTTCTTTTGCCCCGATATTGCGAGGTGTTTCGCGCATGTTGTTCGCGACAGAGCGCGGGAATCGGGAAAACGCGAAACTCATAACGACGTTCACGCGGGGCACCCGACGTAACTCGTTTATAACTACGTTCGAGAGGGAAATGCACGCTCGTTTCGGCCGAATTTCGTAATGCCGTCGCGCGCGCGTTGCACGCGTGCGGCATACAAAACACCAAGTATGCAAATCCTTGGTACGCGCGCGTGAGTGAGGGGGTGAGTGAGAGAAGGAGGGAGAGGGGAGGAGAGGTAGAGAGAGAGGGGGGGAGAGAGAGAGAGAGAGAGAGGGAGGGGGAGGGAGGGAGGGAGGGAGGGAGAGAGAGAGAGAATTGAAATCCTCCATCGTGGTGTCCGGCAATTATGCTCGCCTTCACACCAACCGGTTTCCGGGATTGCGTCTCTCGCGCGCGCTACTTAATTACTAATTCCGCGCGAGTATCAACTCGGCGTTCCCCAGCGAAGTTCCGCGCGTCCGCGTCACCCGAGCGACGTCGTGCCGATTTCCGAAGGCGTCTATATCGGTCGTCTTAATTGGCAGAAAATTAATGGCATGTTACATGTGTACTGTTTTAACGTGGCTAACTGAGGATTGAAACACTCGAGTTAAGTCAATCGAATTGTCACCCAGCAATTTACATGACGTTTGGATTAATTTTACTTTTATGATATGTGTACACACATGGGGAGATGTGCATGTGGCCGACGAGAACGGGCACCCCTGCGGCCTTTCCCCCCCCCTCGCCGCGTGCCGAGAGTGTGCGGACGTGTCGGTATTCGGGTAGCCCGGTCTATTCTATGCAATGGAATCTCGCATCCCTTCCATGCTACGGACCAACCGATCCACTAAACGCTCCAATAGGCTAAGTCCCTTTTCCACAGTGAAAGAGTGGTGGAACGAGAGGTATATAAGGGACTACCGCCACTCAAAGGAGCAACAGATTGCCCCTGCCCGTCGTGATGATGTGAACTTGGACCGGCCTGATTTTGTTCATATACAGGTTGTGCAAAAGATTGACTAGACCGATGATAACGGATCCTAGTTAACACTCTGATGACACGCATGGCCAATCTTTTCAATTATCATTAATAAAGTATATAGGCAATCTCTTGGACAACCTGTAAATGAACGAAATCAAGCCGGTCAAAGAGATCACATCATGCTGACACGCATTGGCAATCTCTTGCAATAGCATTCATGATGGCTTTTGCCAGCGCGATAACGCGTCGCGCGTCGCGTGATTATTCGATGAACGTACAGGTTTTATGGGAAAGCTGTACGTTCATTGGATAATCGCACGTCGCACGTTGCGTTGTCGTACTAGTCTGCAAGAGTCATAATACTTAATTACGAGAGTGTGTTGAATAGCTCTCTAGATAAGTTATAAGAAATGAGAAATAGGGATCTGTGTAAGAAAATTCAAAGTGACCACTGCATCGCCGTATTAGCCCGATCTTACGCTAAATATAAGCGCTGCGGCCTTTTCCTCCCTTCGCCGTACCAGTTGCTAATGTTTCAGTTCAATCAATTCAGAGTATATGCAAAATCATCAAATCAGTTTTGAGAGTAGATTTGATGCGCTTGAAAACATCTTCACTGCCTGCGCAATATAACATTTCTGAGTGTGCAATTTTCGAACGATTTGATTTGTCAGCTTCGAATACTTCTACGTAACAATTATCATGGTCTCGGCATTTTGGTATTAGGATGTTTGTGACTCAAAATGACTTCAGGAATTTGTCATTAACGAGCAGTGCGGTAGATAAGGACACCCTGTATAAAAACAAATATATTTTTTACAAAGTAATGTATTTTATCAGAATACTTTCACGTTTATCCGATTCGTCGCAGTATTGATTTCTGACGCTTGTCGTAATTTCACGGAGGTTTTTCGAGATATCTACAAATGTCACTGCGCGGTTTATTTGCACGGGTCGGATTCGCGTCAACATCCCACTCTTTATGACGCACCCTCGAGGAGATTTACCTATCGACGTGGAAAATCGAGGAGCCGAAGGAGACGGCCGCGTCGAGCGGGTGAACGCCGGCAAGATTGAACATGCCGGTCGGCACTCAAAGTGACTGGCCGTCACGAGAGCGTGCGTTTAAAGCGACAGAGACGTACGGATAGAACTGAGCGGCGAATAGGTGGCATAACGGAAGTTGGATACATGCGCGGGTGATGAGATAGAGGACGAAATAGAGAGTGAAAGAGAAAGCGAGAGAGATAGAAAGAGAGGGTGAGAGAGGGAGCGAGGAGAGAGGAAAGGGGGGGGGGGAGAGGAGAGAGAGAAGAAGGGTACACAGGTGTTGGTGGGTAATAGCTTCCTATTACCATAACGCTTGGCTAAGCCAGCTAATCGGTTCCGTTTATGCCGACCGGCAAATTATTATTAATCGCATTGCGCTCGCGGATTACCGTTTATATGCGACTATAGCACGGTGGCATTTGCACTTCGCGCCGAACGTCGCATGGGCTTTTAGCGTCGCGTATTCGCCCGTACGCATCTGATCTTTCAACGGACCACAACACGCACTCACTC